TAGATAGATAGATAGATAGATAGATAGATAGATAGATAGATAGATAGATAGATGGATAGATAGATATGGATGTACACACACAAATCCCTGCAAACAAACACTGTGAACGTTTTCTGTCACATCCAATTTATTTAAATCATTGAATAGTGCAAATAAAAAAAAACATACTCAAGACACTTAATAAAGTTAGATTTAATCATTCATAAAGACAGACTGCCTATAATGATTGCATCTAGTCATTGACATGCTTCACTCCTATTGGATGAGTATATAACAACAGTGGACAGCTGTTTTCATTAAACTACCTTTTTTTGCACACAAGAGGGAACACAGGAGCACACATCCAGGAATACTTAAACAGAACAACAAACAATATGAATCTACATAATGAATTTTATGCATTATAAGACAAATAACAGCAGAGTGAGATAGGATAGGAATCACATTGATTTCATGATTATGTGGAGAAAGAAAACTACACACTTGCCAATGAGGTTAAGGCAGTTTACACACCACAGCTCTTAACTCATTCAGGTCAAACATCTCAAGGGCAGCAAAAATAATTAATGCCAGCCATTTCTGCATTCATTTACTTATTTTTTGTTTGCAGATTAAAACAAACAGGATCAGCTGATTAAAAAATACAGCAATGTTATTATTTCCATAGAGAGTATATATTTGAGAGATTGAGCTTCAGTTAATTCCATTATTTTATAAGCAATCTCTAGAAAATGAGTTTTGGATTTATGCGGGGTTGTTTCTATGCTGCTGTCTAAGATGACACAGAAAGATGGTGAAAGTCAGAGCGATTCCTCCCACAAATGCAGTGCGAGCCACAGGAGGAATGAAGACAAAATTCACAGCCTAAAACAGAAACAAGAGAGGAAAGCAAGGTTTGAGAATCAGCATCCTTTGTACATTTCTCTTTAGTGAATGTGTGAACAAAAAAGTAAAGTTTCTCACCTGCATTGTTGACCAATACACAACCCCAGCCTGCAGTGATAAACAGATTGAATACAGCACTTAAACACAGTTATATCATAGACCAGTAAAACCATTTATCTTTCTTTGTACCTTGTAAGACGTCCAGAATTTCTGTCGCCAGTCTTCAAGTGGGTCGTCTTTGTTTTCTAATAAACTTAAACCTGAAAGACAGAAATTCAGTTCCTTATTTAACCATTGCATTTCTGATTATTCTAAATTATTCGATTAGTCATGCAGATCCTCTGGAACAAACTGAATTAAAATATTAGTTTAACATTAAGATATATTTAAAATCCTAAATGTAGCCAAAAAGTAAACCATCACCATCTCTAAATACATAAATACATATCATTTGATTTTTGTTGTTTTAAGTCAGATCACAGGTATTTCCAGAAAAAAAGCTGCACCTCAGCATCTACAACAAGACGAGATGATTCACTAGACCGTTGTGTCGTTACACACGGCAACAGGGAGGAAGCAGCGCCACCAACATCCAGTGGTGGATGAAGTGCTCAACAGTAGTACTGGAATAAAAGTACTGATACTGATTTTTCAACTACAAGTAAAAGTTACCTGGTCAAACATATACTCAAGTATTGAAATATTCACTTTTGAAAATATTTAAGTATTCAAAAGTACATGCATTTAAAAGTACTTAAGTATTCAAAAATAGAAACAACATGTACTAATATCAGTAAATATCCTTGTGATTTTCAGAGTAATTTTAAAGAACCCTTTCAGAAACCACCTGATGTATTGATGCACAGAACCAGCTGCTACAGAGTCTACACCACTTGTAAAGAATGTCAGCATAAAATTGCCTAAAAACTTAAGGACAGCTATTTTTTATATTTTTTCTTATTTAAAAACAACCCAAAAACTAATCAGGATTGTCTTGATTCTTCTCACACTTTCCCTATGGAATAGAGGTTTAAGGTTGAGTCGATCACCATAAAGAAACTCCAACTATGATTTGAGAAATCCTCTAACTGAACAACTTGAATACATAGCAACAACCAATGCCTTAAAATGTATAAACTACAAATAATATGTACCAAATGTGGATTTCTCACATTTCCAGGATGTTGTGCAAATCTGTAAATCTAGTGGTGTCCAAATTCAGTCCTAACGGCTGCTAGCTTGCATGTTAAAATTGCATTTCAATTAAGAAAAATAGCAAACGTGGATTACAAAGCTAAGCTGAGCCAAAAGGAACAAGAACAAGTAACTAGCAGCTTCCTTGAAATGTAGTAGAGTAGAAAATACAATATTTGACTTTGAAATGTACTTGAGTGAAAGTTATAAATCCCCCCCTCCAAAAAAAAAAAAAACTTACTCAAGTAAAGATACTCAACAACAGTATTTAAGTACAGTAATCAAGTCAATTTACTTTGTTACTTTCAACCACTGTCGACATCATATCCCATTAACAACATGCATTCTAAACAAATCATTGTCTAAAGCAATTCTCAGCGAATATACTTTGCTAAAAAAAAAAAAAGAAAGTGCTATTGAGCCTAGGTGACACTAAAACTGAGTCTCCTTAAAGGGAGCTTTGTTTTATTTGCTTTACCACCTGGAAATGAGGCTGGTTAGTGGGACCTCAGCCTGCTCTATTTCAGTTGTTTTTGTTCTTCGATTTTATGGTGGTTGGCGAATAATTGCTGCTTTTATAAGCAAACTTAGGCCGTTAACTATTTTCTTTCAGCCATTTTTCAACTATGAAGGATCGACCCTCATCCGACTTTACTTAAATGTCAGAAATGGTAGAAAGAAAAAAAACTACCCTGTTACATTTATTTAATTATTGAAAATGATTCAATTTTTCCATGTGTGCTATTTTATTATTGAGAAAGTAAAATCTAATTTTGAGTTTTTACATTGAATAAATGTACTCAAATAAAAAGTTGAATTTTATAAGTAATTTCGGGGTAAGGTTGTGTTGTAACATTATAGATTAATCAATCTAAGGCTTTTTAATAATCTTTACCTAGGATAGGAAGTGACAGAGTTTGAAGAACAAAGAAGTTTATCTATTTACCTGTGACATTCTGTAAGAGGTCTTTTATTGAGCAGAAAATGGGGACTCTCCTTTCCATATCATCAGTGAATGTCAGAAGTGTTCTTGTTCTATCAATGTAATGTATGTCATATACTAATAATTCTCAACACTGACCTATGAATTATAAGATAAATTCTACAGAATTTAATGAATGGAAAAAAACATCCAATACATCCAAAGAATTACTGTAACTGTCTATTATAAAGACTTAAGAAGAAGTAGTTTTGTAACTAAAAGAGGGATCACTGATTAATGAATGGTGAACACTGAAGGACAGCTAAGGCATATCTGTGTATTCCAGAATTCAACTGCAGTTTATTGTGTTCTTTTTATGTTGCTAAAAACAAAAAAACAACAAATAAGATATCTCTAGGTCTGAAAGGAATCTGTATCCAATTATATAGGTTCAGTGGGGACCTGGTTCCTTTTTCCACTGGTTACTGGGCAACACAGACAGACAATCCACACATACGCCCCTATCTAAGGGAGGTTTAGTGGAAACAATTAACCTAACTATCATTATTTTTGTCTGTGGGAGGAGGATGGAGGAATATCTGGACAGAACATATAAAGTTGATGCATGGGAAAAACATATTAAACACGCATCAAATGCAAAAAATGCATCACTTTGAAGCTCATATTGTTTGTTGTTTTTGAAACATTTTTATTCAGATTTTAAGTTTCGATGAGTCACTTGATTGTGTTTAGATTAATTATGCTCTCCCATTACACAGATGCACTGATAAGAGCTTATCCCAAACAGGGGGTGTTGATGCCTATCTCCAGCTGCCTACGGGCGAGAGGCGGGGTGCAGGGCAAGAAAACGGGACAAGTAACCATTCAAGCACACTCACACATAAGCAGAATTTTCGTGAAGCCAATTAACCTAACAGTCATGTTTTTCAACTGTGGGAGGAAGCCGGAGTACCCAGAGAGAACCCAAGCATGCTCAGGGAGAACATGCAAACGTTTTTGAACATGCTTACCAATATAAAAAGCACTGATAGTAGCAGGAGCTGCAATCAGCTGATCCAGAACCACTTTCTTCATCACCGCCTTCGCTCCGCTCCCTGGCAGTATCCTCTCCAGGCCTCTGAGCCAGTGATAGTTAAAGTTGGCATGGAAACACAGCCCCACAGTCGCCACTCGAGCTGTCTGACACCAGTTGATCTGGACTGACCCCTCAGACTCAGATCCAGTGGTGGGATTTTTACCCAGGACACTCTGCTGTATGAGGTCAGCCGAGGCAAACAGCGCCGTGTATCCCAGGACGTTACTGATGTAAGGATGAGCCTTGAAAAAGGTCCAGGCCCGGTTCATGGTAAAACGTCTGATCAGAAGGAGTATGTTGGACATTTAGAATACAGAGGCTTGCAAAAGTAATCACACACTTTTAAGATTTATGAAACGTTATTAGATAATAAATTTTCCTTTACATTTTTTAGATATGTTTAACACAAACCTAATAAATAAACCCTACAGAATCCATAATGTATTGTTTAATATAGCTTATTTAATCAAAATACATAACTATCAGTTTTATGCATTTTGAATTGAAGAAAAATGTATACTAATGAGTGGATTTATTGCAAATTCATAAAGTTTATTTGTTTTGAATTGCACAATAATCAGGCTATCTTTATGCCTATTATATTAACAGGTTGTGTTAAAATAATATAAAAATGTATTATGTAATAAATGTACATAAATCTTGAAAATTGTGTGAATTATTTCCATGAGAGCATTGGTCACTTTAAATCCTCAAATCTCCTTTCATTTAAATCAAAATAACCTTTAGAAAGGTCAAAGAATTACTCTTAAAAAAAAGCAAAAAGCTTTTGTAAGTCTGAAAAAATACAAACCCAAAAACTAGGCAAAAATCCTTAACAGCAATAAAATTAATCATAAATGAATCATTAATTAATGATAAATGAATAACTTTCTGAGTTGTAGCTATAATGTCTCAGACTAACAGCCAATATGCAACATCAGACTGTCTGTTAAAAACCAAAAGGTCACCCAAAAATAATTAAAATAAAATCGCATAATTACTACAACATAAAACCTTATATAGTTTTAAGCCTCAAATTATTGCAAATATGTTGGTGAGGAAAGCAAATTTGAATCTCTTTCCAAGCATTACATAAAATAATCATTCCAATCATTTTAATCATTGTCTATTTTATTTTTAAGAATTTTTTTTTTTTTAATGTACTCTTTTAAGGATGATCAAGTCATAAAGCTTGGATCTGTTTTTCTGAGCACTTCATTATTGATAGTCTGTTATCTTTTCCAGAGGCGTGTAGCAAATACTTATATTTACTTGAATAACTTTTTGACAGAAATGTACGTTTAGAAGTAGTTTTTCTGCACTGTACTTTTTACTTGTAATTGAGTAATATATTAATAAAATATTTCCAATCTTACAAGAACATTCAGAGTGAGTAACTTACTAACAACCTTGTTTTAAACAGTAGATCTCCAGACAAAGATGCACAGTAAATGTTTTTGTCAAATTCAGTTTTCTTTTTTTATTTACAAAAAATATCTGGTGAACCTACAGTGTTACCTGAAGGTCAAACCTTTATTCAGTAGTAGTAGATGTCGTCATTGGAGGTACTGGGTTTATATGTTTTATATCAAAAGGATAATCAGATCTTAAAATTGCCTTTTCTGCCTGGATTTCTTTTTTTTTTTTTTTTTTTTTTTTTCCTTGTTTTTTTTTTTTATTATTTACTTATTTATTTATTTTTTTTAAATATTTTTTTATTTTATTTTTTTATTTTATTTATTTATTTTTTATTTATTTTATTTTATTTTTTATGTTTTTATTATTATTTATTTATTTATTTCTTGTTTTTTTTTTATTTCTTGTTTTTTAATTGATGTTATTATTAATTTGCTTAATTTTTTTTTTATTTTTAGGTTTTTACGACACTAGTGGCTTGTTTATTGTAAAGGGGGCAGACAGGAAAGGGGGGTATGAGAGAGGGAGAGAGACATGCAGCAAAGAAACACAGGTGGGTTTTGAACCCAGGTTTGCCAAGTCGAGGAATAAGACCTCCGCACATGGATTGAGCACACTAACCACTACATCACCAAGGCACGCCACAATTATTTACCTTTAAATACCAGAATTTGAAAATATTTTCACATTCTGTTCTGTTTGTTACATAATTTAAATAGTAAAACAGATGTTATGAGTTACTCAGTAATTCAGTAACCTTTTTACTAACTGAAGAAGTGCTATTCTTACAACCACTGATGTTTTCCTTGCTTGTCTCTGTGTTGTAATTGCCAAAAAAATAAAAAATTATGATTTAAAATCTATTACAGCTCAGTTTGACAAAAAAATTATATATATATATCTTTGAGTCTACACTGATGTGACTCATATTAGATATAGATAATATTCAACCAATTAGGATTGCCTCGCTCCCTCATTCCTCAAAGCTCCGCCCTATAGGGGTACATGGTGATATAATAGCACTGTCTCCCTCCTTAGTTTCTAAAGAGGATTTCTACCAGAATAAGTTCTTTTCCCCCTCAGTAGAGAGAAAATAAAGGAGAGTATAAAACAACACCAGAAAATAACCTTAGTATTTGAAAATACATTTACTTACCTGTTAGTTTTTCCTAAATCCCCCAATGCCACTAAAACAATCTCCTCTCCTGTTGGCTCTCCTGATCATAGAAAGAAAGAAAGAACAGTTTTTTTTCATGGTCAAAGTTTAGTCTCTGTTGAAATGAGTGTGTGATAAAAGCTTTTATCAGTCCATTCTGAGGAATGTGGGAAAACAGCAGATGTAGAGATGACTGAGCAATCCCCTGCAGCAGACAGGAGAAGCTCACACTGTCCAACCTCTATGTTAGACTCCTCGCCATGACTTCACAGTGTTTAGCGTTATAAGGTTGCTGTGTTAAAGTTAAGGCTTGTAAACTCTGCAGCCTTCTGGTTGGAAGCACATGTGGCGTTTCTATAAATAGATGAAGCTCCTGCAGCAGCCGTTCCTCCCTCTGACATGAAACGCTGTTGCTTTTCTTTTTATGTTTCATTTTATTTTTTTTTACAAAATGTTTCAAAATTTGTTGCTATGAAGGTGGTCAAAATGTTTTATTGATGACATTAGGTGAACCAGGCAGAAACTTCTCATTGTGCACATTTACCTTCAAAATTTCCTATTTTTCTCAGAGATTTTTATGACATGGTAAGCATTTACTTGCATAACAATTGCATGGTTGATTTTTTTTTTAAACGTATTCCTTCAAATGTTAAAACAGCATAAAAAGTGGCCGGGGGGCATTTAAAGGTGGAGTAAGGCCTCCTACGTGCTCATCCCCATTTTCACTTACAGGTGGTGAGGCTGACATAGTGGGAAAATTGCAAATCTTCTTTTGGAAAGTAAGCTTCTATAAGTGATTCAAACCGCAACTTTTAAACAAAGCATGCACGATGAGAAATGGGCTTGTGCACACTCTCACGCGCGTTTAATAGTCGTTCCCTCTAAGTAGCTGGTACAGGGTTAAGCATGTGCATTTTGTTGCGAGTATAGAGGGCAGGTCTTTTCAAAAATTTGCAAAAATCCTCCACTCTACCTGTAACTTTCTTTGGCATCCAGATAAGCTCAAACCTAAACAGAGAGAGCAGAGGGAACTGGACTAGGTTTTGAGTTTTATATATTAGTAAGCCCACACATACAATGAAATAATATGTTTTGTTCCTGTCCAGACTTGGAAAATAATCAAAATAAATGATTTGCTGTTGTTGTTGTTTTTTTTAAGTCCGTGTAAGGAACCTGAAAGTAATTTTTTTTTTTACTCCATGTCTGTGAATTGGTAGAAATACAGTTTGTGAAAAAATGTCTTTGCCTTAAACAATATGACTTTAACTTTGGAAAGAAAAACACAAAAGAAACTAGATCAAAAATAAAAGGGAAAAAAAAACTGGGCCACCAGTATGGTTATCAAAACTAAATAAAACTCATATATAACCTTGTTGTTTTGGTAAATACTGTATTTTTCATAAAAGGATACAATTCGTTAAAAATAGCAAATGAAGTTAACTTATTGTGTCTAAATCGTAATACTTATTGGTTTCCTTCTGTTTAGACAGAAAGCCCCCACCTGCTGCCATAGATATGTAAAACTCTGCACTTGGAAGGTGTTTTGAAATGAAAAGGTCAATTAAAGCCGGTAGCAACCATTTGAGCTCCTCCATCTGAGAATGTGATAATAGGGGGGATGGGGGGGAGGTCAGAGTTTAAACGAATCAATTAAGGCCTTGTTAACAACCACAAATGCTGTGTTTCTGCTTCCCGGTCCTTAACAGGCACTTTTTTATTATTAAAGGACACAATTAAGGCATCTGCCCACACACTTCCATAAGCAATTGACTTTTCAGATAATTGCTGCTCTCGCTTCTCATCTTGTCTCACTTTCTCTTCCAATTTGTCAGCGTGAATGGCATTCATGCTGCCAGAGAAAGAGGAATTTGTGCCTCTGCAATAAGCACTGATGATACTTTGACTCAATCTGTGCACAAACAGCTGCAATAGCTGCACTCACTGACAAACACATTCATAAGCTGTTCACAAACCACACCTCTCTGGAGATGTCCACCTCTTCTGGCTTCAGTGCTGCTTGCAGAGACTGACAAACACAGCATCATTCAGGCAAAAAAGGTAAGAGGAATGTGTAATTATTACTTTTTTTTTTAAATAAAACATAAGCAAAGATATTTAGAAACTTTGCTTAAAGGTAACAGAGTTTAAGTAGAAATAGTAATTGGATGCATTGCTTTTTTGTTATGATTAGCAATGTAAAACTCATTTCAAATATTTTATCATTAGAAAGAGTATGTACATTTTTGTAATCGCTCTAAATTTACATTAGGAGCAATAAACAATTATTTTCAGCTACTGTTAATTTAGGTTCTGCCCTCTTTAATCTAATTTCTCACTTACTGTCTTTACTTATCTTTACACAACACTGATTAAGATCTGGTAATGAAGAAAAAATATTCTTATTTTAGCTTTGGTCTAAAATGTTTTTTGTTGTAGGTTTTTATTCTAAGCAAAACACCACACAGGGGATTAAAACATAATCATAGCTGTAAATTAAAATGATCAGCACCCTCTTCAGTCTTTCATAAACTAAATTCTGCAAACCGGTTTTTAAGGATCGTAACCTTCGGATGTCATGGAACACAGGAGGAGATGGGATCATTTTTGTCCAAATAATTTTTTTGTTCTTTCAGGGGATTTTGGAAATAATCAACAAGTCAAGCAAAAGAAGGGCGAGAGAGGAACATCTTAATTACAGAAACTACTTTTCTATTCACTTAATTATTTTTAAGGTCACAGATATTTTTTAGAGTTAAAAAAATTCCCTTTGAATGATTATTATAGTACAGCATGGTTTAATTATTTTGCAGGTATGTACCCCTCATGTAACTGCAGAGACAGGTGTACAAAGCAGGATTTTGGCTGCTTGCCGGCTGCAGTTTTAGAAAACATTGTCAGGTTTTAAATGCTTTGATTACAAAACCTTATAAAGGAAGATATTGGATCTGTCTAGAACCTTTTAACTAACTGAGAAAACTTAGTTAAAAGGTTCAGTTTTCTGATGCAGGTAAAGTTTTCCCTAACTGAAACGCATAAAGTACTGTATAAAAATCCTATTTATATTTCTCAGCCATGCGACCTTCTTTCTCTGTGAGCCTTGAGCCCGGTTTGGAGAGAGGCATCCCTTGGGGTCGTGACCTTTTCACCTTTGTGACTTCAGCGGCAGGTCACATGATGCGAACCCTTGAAAAACCACGAAAGAGCCGTCCGTCCAAACGGCAGGTCAACCATCGCCGCTTCCTGCACAACATGATTCAGAGGTTTGTCTTGCTGTCAGTTAAACCATGGAGGAAATCGTTTCTTGTAGCTGCTTGTTTTCAAAGGTACCAAAAATAATATTTGGTTTAAAAAACAAAAAGCAAAAATGGAATTAGTACTTAAAAAAAAAAAAACAGTTTGTTCTCTTTTCGTAGTTTAAAACAAAACCTTGGATTTCCTCTTCAAGTCTCTAAAAATAAGGTAAAGGGAACATACAAAAATAATTACATTTCTTCAAATTACAGACAGCAGATTTGTGGATAAAAAGGTGAAAGACAAAAAAAGAATTTTTATTTTTATTGTTTTAAATGACAGCTATAAACTCTAAGGATTTTGGCAAACATAGTATGTTTCCACATTTGTAATGTATCAGTGGATGCAAACTGAATGCATTTACCTCTAATAAGCATTCATACTATAGGAAAGGATCTACACTGACAACAAAGATGCTACTTTAATATCACCTTAGACGAGGCTCAGATTGTTTGAAAATAAAAACCAATACCCGAGGAAAAATTTTTATTTTTTATTATTACTCTTATTTAACCAAATCATTCTTCATACATGTGATTTATTATGTTCCAACTTAAGATCCAATTTAAATAAATAGCCTCAATTATTAACAAGTAATTAATTTAAGTTTGTCCAACTTGATTTATTTAAGTTTTCAACATATAAACTTTATAAATTAAGTTGGATCAATTTGATTCTTGTTATCAGTTTTGGTATAAAGCCGGTTCTACATTTAAATGGAATAATTAAATGGAATAATCTACATTTTATAGGGAAATGGGAGTCTAGTTGTTTGGGCATAGAGCTTGGAATCTTGAGGTTCTGGGTTCGAGTCCCACTCCCACAGACTGCCACTCTGGGTCTCTGACCAAAACCCGTAACCCCACACTGCTCCCTGTGCATCCCACGATGGCAGCCCACTGATCCCCAAAGGGATGGTTTAAATGCAGGGGTAAATTTCTTCAGTGTGAGATCAGTAAACTTCATTTATATTATTATTAAATGTAGAGAATTGGTCCATAAATGAAAGCTTTAAGACAGCTATTGACCATTTAGATATTATTTTGATGTTTTTAAAACAACAGTGAACATGGCCATTACTGAACAAAAATAAAACATTTGGTTTCCTTGTAACAAACTGGAATTGAAAAAAAGGGTCAGATTTGAATTTGTTTCTTTGCTAATCCTTTTCAGGTAAAAAAAATGAATCTAACAATTTTTTAACTGGTTTCTAAGAATATAATATATATATAATATAATGTATTTTTGGTCAAAACTTATTTTTTTTCCCTGGTGTTTCAAGACTTTTTCATGTTTGTTTTTAGATATTCTTGTGGTGTTACTGCTCTTTTTTCTACCAGGACGAAAGGTGGAAAGAGAAAGTGACAATATGCAGAAAACATCCCAAGGTCAGGGTGTGAATCCAGGGCAGCTTTTTCCAGCAGTATATCCTCCACATATGGACCATATCTATCACATCCCTTAGCCAAATGATGCTCAAGTCATTTAATATTTTAGCTAAGATTGAGAGAAGTAAAGAAAGCAGTGTTAAGCTTAAAAGGTTTGTCTGACAGATACATCAATACACACAGAGGATCTGATGGTTTTTTTTTAAGATCAGCTTAGTTAAAAAGGAAATCTCACCATGTCTTACATTAGGACCTTGTCTGTCTCTCAACAGGAAATTCGCAGACATAGAAGCAGCGAACCACCGGCTATCATCGGCCCTTTATGATAAGGATGAAGAAAAAAGCACACCAGCTCTTTCGGAGCCAGAAAGTCCCCCTTCAGAAAGAGGCTCTCAGCAGGAGACGGATCAATACAGTGTTTACACTGATTTAGAGGGGATTTCAGAGTCAAGGAGCGGCGCCTCTGAGGAGAGGGAAGAGAAGCAGTTGGATGATAAACATCTCTGGACAACACGTCCTCAAAAATCCACCTGCACGGCTAAGATGAACAACCATAACAAAATGAGACAAACTAAGGAAAAAAGAGGGAAAAAAGTAACTCCATCCTCTTATATGAATGACCAGAATGATAAAGACAGCTCTGAAGAAGTAGAGCTACTTCTGTCTGAAAATCCCAACAACAACCAAATCCAAATGAATCCTGTGAACAACATTTCTGAAAACAATCAAAGACTCCCCAAACATCCCAGTTTCATCCTTTTTGCCCCAAACGAGTACAGTTCTCCTCCTTTCTCCCCTGAGCTCTCTCCGTTGTCTCTTGACTCTTGTGATTTCTCTGCTCAGATGTTGAGCGACCTCTCTGGATGCACACAGGAAACCATCACAGATGGTCTGACTGACATAACCGAGCTCTACAGGGTTAGTAACCAGGACTCAGTGGGCTATATGGACGTAGAATCCTACTTTGAACGTATGTGTTCATGCCAGGTGGAGGCTGGGTCGGAGGTCTGTCCGAATGAGGATACCACGGTTGGAAACCTGACAAACGACTTTACTGGGTCGGAGAACGTGCATGAAGGGGAGTGTATATGTAGCCATGAGAACAGCTGTGAAGAAGATCGAGGAGCAACAGCCGATTATTTCCAAAGTCACCTGAGGAGTTCACAACTACCAGGACAAAGCGAATACCCTGACACCAAGCAGGCATATCACGGCATGGAGGGAACCCCCATCAGCCAGGAGTACAGCATCACAGAGCTCCAGACGCAGGAGGGGAACTCCTGCATGCTGGTAAACAGCCTGAACCTTACACCGTTTGAGGGAGTGGCTCAATCTTTCCCTGTTCCTCCTCATCATGAGCATCGCCCCATACTAACACCTCCTCATGAGGATGACTGGCTGTTTCCTGATATCATGAAGGATAGAGACCCTTACTACCCTTACTACTAAAGCCACACTGGCATGGAGATATAAATCCACGGCTAAGCCAATATTTAAGAGGAAACTTTGAGAACAAGTTATAAATAGCTAAATTAAATCCATTACTGTTTACTGTCTTTAAAACAAAATAATGTTTTGGAGATTGTAAAACATGGATTGCATAGATATTTTTCACACTGTTTTCTCAACCCACAGGATGAGTAGTTCATCATAAAAGTATTCACACCCCCCTAAGGTAGCCAATGAAGGGAAGCTAAAATTGAAGAAATTAGATCTCTCTTTTTAATTTTAATAATCTCTCTTATTAATTTGCTACCTTCTTAAAGAAGTTGGTTGATTTACAGGTATCAAAGTACAGGGGGTACAAATACTTTTACTAGGTAATGTAATGGTTACAGGTATGTCATCCACATTCAAACTGACCCTTAATTTACAGTAGCTTAAGTTTTCTTTGTCAGTAAGTATATAGGTTGGTTTTAATGTTGTTTTCTCTCTGTTTTCTGTCCCTTGAAGCTTTGAAAGTCGTTAAAGCCTCAATTTCTTACAATAAAAAGTCAAATTAATAGAGATGCTGTGACAGTGTTGTTTTTTCTTTTCCAGATTTCTCAGCATTTAGCATCAGGTAGATTTACATTCTATATGTGTTTCTCTGAGTTTCACATATGGTGCAGGCTGTAGAGTGCCAAAAAAAGAAACAGTTTTTAATTGGTCAAGACTTATTGTTGATCACATTAATATGTAAATCAAAGAAAAAAAGGCCATCGTGTCATTATTCTAATATTTTTTAGACATGTCACTTCAGTGCCATTCAGGACAGAAAAGGGCTGTGAAAAGGTGCTCACATCCCTTTTTCTTGTTTTTATTTTTGGCTACCCTTAAATATTTTAGATGTTTTTTTCTTATATAAGAAAGAATCAATCCGGGTAAATAAAATGTAAATTTCTCAAGTAAGGATTCACATTTGAAGGGGAAAATGTCAAAACCAACCTTTGAATACATGTACTAAATAGTCCCAATAAGCCAATTACTGGTTGTGCCACCTTCGATTCTTTGAGATAAGAATGAGTCTTTTCCAATAGTGAGGAATAATTCTTCACCTGATTAACCAGGATAATCACTTTTCATAACTCAGCATGTCCCATCAGTCTGCAGTGATTTTTAAATTTTTTTTTTCTTATTAAATTCCTGGATGAGTTTTTTTGGCACATCTGGAGTAGTTTTAGCTGGTGAGCCCCTCCAAAACAGGTTCCCTAATCTTGTGTTGTCCATTTGTGGATGTCTCTCTCTTGTGTTTCACTGGATTTCAAACATTTTTGTTTAACCTTTTTCAGATTAATAAATGTGCGCTACATAGCGCTGCAGTGCCTTGCAGCAAGAAGGTTCTGGGTTTGATTCCTGGTCTGGGGTCTTTCTGCATGGAGTTTGCATGTTCTCCCTGGGCTTGCATGGGTTTTCTCTGGGTACTCTGGCTTCCTCCCAGAGTCCAAAAAAAGGACTGTTAGGTTAATTGGCTTCTCTAAATTGTCTTTAGGTTTGAGAGTGTGTGCATTGGTGTGTGTCTTTGTGATGCCCTGCGACAAACTGGCGACCTGTCCAGGGTGGACCCCGCCTCTCGCCCATAGACTGCCGGAGATAGGCACCAGCCCCACCTCGACCCTGACAGGACTAAGCAGGAGAAGATGGGTGGATGAAAATAAATAAACTTATAAAAAGTTTATCATCAGTTAATATGCTTGTTTAGAGCAGGGCTTTTGGAGATCTTTTAGCCTTCTTCATGTTGCAAAGCAGGTTTGAAGTGATTCCCTGAGTCTAAAGTTATATCAGTAATTAGTTAGGATTTATATATAGGATTTAGATTTATAGATAAAGGATGTTGAAATAGATGTAACATATACCTTTATAGAGATAATATTTTGTTATAGATTTATCATTTAGTGGGTTTCCCCTTAATGTTATAAAAGTAAAACAATCAACAACCTGCTGGAATAAAAATTTACGTTTGGGTTGAATCCCTTTCCGACATGCATAGTGCACTTTCCATCCAGGAGCATAGATAGATATCCAATGTAATGTTGGGAAGCATGTGAGACAACTCCTATTTTATTTCCCAACCATTGGTCTCTGCTGCCTGCAGTAACCAGTAAACTAGCAGAGGAGCACCAGGCGCAGGGCCCTCATTAGCTTTTCAAAGTTTTAATATATTTCCTTTGAAGGTTAGCCTGATCCTTCTGCTTTCACAATTATGTATGGTTGTTTGGTTCTTAGCATGTGACTCTCAGATTGCTAACAGTTTCTGATAAATGGGTGTTTGTAATAAATAAAGTTTGAATTAATGAATTTTTCCTGTTCTGAATGGATGCTGTGGCCTTATTCTGTGTTGAACATCAGATGTAATTACCTAAAACACCTGTAAATGTTCCTTTTTACGTGGCTATTTGTTCCTTGGGAAAATAAATGTTTGTCATTCACCGATGAGCATTTTCTATGCATATAAAAGCAGAAACAACACCAGCATAACAAATAATAAGTCTGAGTATCTTGTTTCTTATTGGATTGGGAGCAATAAAGGACGGGAAAGATGGATGTATCTGGGGAAAATACTTTTCTTTAAATAATACTACTTCAGAAATACTCCTAAAATTAGCATTTATATGTTTAATTGATTATAATTTTCTTAAATAAAAGTTCATCGAAGAAGCTGTAATATCAATAAAAGTACATTAACACTGTATAAATAGACGCCCCATATAAAAAAATAAACCTCGGGACACACAAATAAAAAAACGGCCACATATATCAAAGTTAACCCCAGTCAGATGTTTAATAATTACAATATCATTAACAAAAAAAGGCTAAAACAATAAAAACATGTTTCAAAAATGTTTCAAGTTCCACAGTACCCATAAACAAACATTCAGGAAACAAAAACAAACAAACACCTCAGAGAAGCTCCGGCCTTATTTCTTGCTACAGTTGACCAGGACTCATCTCATCTCATTTTAGCGCTCCACTCACTAAGAGATTTTCTGTTTGAAGCAAGGTTGCAACGTTTAGGCCGTTTATATGACATGTTTAGGTCATAAGAGTTTGAAAAGGCTTCATCACTGTAACACGTAATCTCTGCCTGTTTGGCTGCATGCTTAGTCGGCCTTTTTAGAGACAAACAGCCTGACAGAGCAAATCTGAAAAGCTGATTTTTATCTCATCTGGGAGGGTGTAAAGTGCAGCTTTTACACAAAAATAAAGTAAAAAAAAGAAAGAAAAGGAATTACCATTGCAATGGGCTGTTCCATACATGTAATCAGTAGTTCATTTAAATTTTACCCGCTGCTGTAAATCGGAGTAAAAATGTGGATAAACATACTTCGGCTAAATGAGCTTAAACAGAATCATCCCTGATTACCATAGCAACCGCAGAGGCCATGTGATGTCTCACTGGTAAACGTCGAACATAAAACCAAAAAAATCAAACAGTCAGAGCAACATTTCAGAAACACAGTCTTTAGTTTGCATTGGTTCCCATTAAACAAAACACTTTTTTTCTAGTCATTTTATCCTAAAAGCAGTAAATTTAAGGAGTCTTTGCCAACTTTGTCTGTTCAAAACATGTTTGAATCGCAGTTTGCAGATAAGTCTAAAGGTTTAACATATGCATTAAGATATGCAGTGTTGACAAGGATTTCAAAAGGCAAATTTCAGCCTTTTACCATTCTGCTTCTCTCACCTGAAACCGAGTATGCAGGTCAGTTGATTCGTTTTTTAATTAGTAAAGCAACTTCTGGGTCAATTTGCCCCTTCACCATTTTATGCATTAGCAAATTAAATGAATTTATGCCATTACATCATTCAACATTTTGTTCTAATAATTTCTGCATAATTACCTGTAAATCCCAAACACAAAAAAATTATTTTGATCAAAGAGAAAAAAAAAATTCTATAATGCAAATTTTATATTATTATTTTATTTGCATTCAAAAACTGTTTGTATAATTGACAACATTTAGCTTCTCATTGAAGTGAGATTTTATGGATTTTGCTGTTTGTTTGTTTGAAGCAACTTCTTTTTATTGATAAAGAAACAAATGTCCTCCCTGTTATATGGTCTAATTAAAAAACAATGTTACTTTAATAAAAAAATTTCTTTAATACCAAAAAAACTGTGTTAAAATTTCTTTTTTTGATTCTCAACTATATTTTTTTCTTTGATTGAAAAGTTTTTTTTTTATTGTGAAGTGAAGATGTTTTTAATTGGAAATATATTTTTTGATTGAAGCAACCTTTTATTAACTGAATAATAAAGAAACAAATCTACCTTCCTAATAGTTGATTAAAATATCTAATTACCAAGATAAATAAACTGATACCAGTGTTTCTGTAAAAATATTTTTACTTTCTCACAGAAGTTTTTGGCGTCTTTCAGCACACTTTGTGTTGTCAGACGGATTTCTTGACTTTATCAGACCTGGCATTTAGCAGCGCTGAGTGTGGGGTTAAATCACATGTACCTCAATGACAAATGGGGTAGAGGTGCATGATTTTAAGAATTATTTAATAGCAATACTACCGCTACAACTTAGGAAAACAGTAATGATTATATTAAATATTAACACGTTTTTTTTTATTATTACAGATTCCTCACTTATTTCCATGAGGTCTGACCACTTTGATCTCCTGGACATTAAGCAGGGTTAAAGTCTACCCAACTGACCAAATATATAAACGATATGCAGCCATGAATGTATAAAATCCTGCTAAATTTTGCATCTCTGCAGTCCTTTGCTATAGAAAAATTGCACACACTGATATGATCTGCTTATCAGTGCAATAAATGGAGCTCATTCCTTTTTCATCATATGGGGCCAGCTTAATACTGCTATTTTTATGTTATAAATAGAATTATTTTTATTTAGGTTAACCTAACATTAATATTAGGCTGATGATCTGCAAATTTTAAGTGTGAAAACGAATAAATCTATGAGGAGGTTAACAAGCGAGGAACAAATTGGCAAAGGGGGGAATTGACCCATGTAATGTTAAAGTCTATCTATCCTTAAGAAAGGAAATCTGCCAGTTAACAAATTCAACTTATTTCAAAGAGCTTTTACAGGCTGAAACCTCTATCAGGTGAACAAGTGCACGACAAGGTCAAAACAACATGGAGCCTTGTTTAGTTAGAAAGCAAAAGTAAAAATACAATCCCAAGAGACACATGTTTAAAGTCAGGTTTCACAAGAGTGTCTGTTTGTCTGAAACCACACAGGTTTGATCATTTTGATCTCAGTAGCTAATGTAAAAAAAAAAAAAAAGAAAAATTCATCTGTCAGTGCCCCACCATTGTCCTTTTCTTTAAACCTATCACTACTAGCGTATGAAAACTCTACTGTCGATCTACCTGTGAGCAGAGACTTATTTATTCATTATAAAAACCCCAGCAAGCTGCCCACCCCAACCCCCGCCCCCAAATCTACTGAATTATGCTGCTACACTATGCATACTACTAATTCACATCCCTTCTCTCATCCATACGCCCACTGTTTGGTTAAACACAAAAGCTTTGCTTTGATCAATAATTTATACGGCTCATCATCAGTGCAGTCAAATCAACACAGTGTCTGTTTCAGAGTAAGATAAGAAAATGAGTTTGCCGCTTCGGATAGAAAAAAGATGAATTAACATGAATCTTCGGTTTCTGTCTTTTTCTTTTTTTTTTATTTTCAACTGCAGACATACATTTCCTCCCATGCACATTCACCTCTGAGATCCTGCAGGCATTGAAATAAAACTGATTTGCAGAAGACGGAGCCCCGAGCAGCACAGATTCACGCTGGAAATAAATTAGAGATGTTTCTGAAGGAATATGTTAAGACTTAAGTTAAAGAGACTACCCCGACCCTCTGCCACGTCCAGCAACAGAACCTTTCTAATCTAAAAATCACCCATTCATGCCGGATGTGAAAACTGTGATGCGTCACATTTTACGAATCAAACACTGATGATCCAATATTGCTCTCCTCATGGCTGACATTTGAATTTTTTCCTGCCTATCTCAGGTCTGTAGTTTATCTTGTTCTAGATTGTCTTCAAGTCAGATCCACATATTTAATCCCTTCATGGCTTGGAAACACCTCGTTATGGAAAAGACATGATCACTTACTTCAGCCGGTTCTCTTTATACTGAAACCACTATGTAATAAGCTGATTAAAACTTAATTTGGCTTTAAAATCTGGAGCTTGTTTAGTTTCTTCGTAAGCATGAAGGAGAAGTATAATATATAAATCGCCATTCTGTGTTATTTTACATCAAAAAATTCTATTTTCCTGTTAATAAGCTGAGAAGGTAATCAGAGCGTGGGCACAACGTTGTAGCACCTATTTGCATCCATCCTGCATGACTTATTTAAAACTAGAGCTGTTATGTGCGTGTCACTCCTCCACCCCTGAGTGTTCGAGGCTGCGTCTGAGTCACTGCGTGCGTCACTCTGTGTTATTGACGCTGTATGGTGGAGGCGGGTCCAGGCTTTGCTCTGAGGAGGGAGTCAGGCTCTGTGGGAGTCCAGAGGAGGGGGTAGGGGAAGCGGGGAGCTCCTCTGAGTCAGAGTTCTCTAGAGAGAGGTCGTCCATCAACGCTCTGCGTCCTCGCATCGACAGCGGCAAAGGAGCACGCCTGGAAGACATGGGAGACACTCACAACATGCCCTGCCTTTAAACAGCTCCATAGGTGCAGCAAAAACAAATAAATGTTGCATACTGAGGGTATGAGCATGTTGTTAATTTATAATCAGAGCTGTGAAAAAAGGAATTATGATTTTTGAACTTTCAGCAATTTTCTTTGGACTTTGGTTGTTTTTCTACGATTTAGGAAAAATGTCTTTGCCCTTGTTTGAAGATTAAGCGATGAGTGAGGCCAGATCTAGATTTACAGAACACTCCGGCAAAGAAAGAACTAAAACTAGAAGTTAAGGAACTTTACTAAGGCCAATTTGTTCCAAAAGCCGTCAACCAAAACCATACAGATACCATCTGGTTGAAATTGATGTGTGTGTGTGTATATATGAAGAGTTGCTACTACTTGAAATACTAAGAAATGCTACTTGGATTTAAAATAATTGCCATCATGGCTTTGTCAAGCTGCTGCCTAACTTTGTGAAGCAGGAAAAACATTAATACAAAGTGAATTCAGTAGAACTTTTTTATTGCCTACCTGGAATAGGTGACAATAGTTGGATAAACTTTTGGCTCTCAAAATAGTATTGGTGCCCTATTTGTTGGTACTCGCTGATACCAATACCACCATTTTAGTGCTGGATTGGGGCCCTGCCTGATACTGGTATCGGTATCAGGCAACACTAAAATTTATGGATGCAAACAGAAATCTATCTTTAATGCTATAAAAGGTTCCTGAAGGGAAAAATGCACCAAAAGATGCAATTTGTTTCATTTTTAAATTGTAAGGACATAACATTAGGACAGAGGTAATCTCCTGCATATGATCTGCTTTTTTTCTATGATACACATGCTGCAAAAACATGATGTTACAAGGACTAAGTAGATAAATAGAATAAAACAGCCAAAGTCCAAAGAAGATCTTCAAAAGAAAGGTTCATCAGTTATAAATGATTTTAAATACATAAATAAACAGTTAATGAGATGGACACAAGAAACACAAAAGCAGTGTGTTCGATTTTAAGGCATCTCTTTCTAGGGATGGCTCCCTGCTTGAATGGCTGATATGAACCTTAATGAAAGCTTCAAGAGTGCCTGATGCAGAGCCGCCTAAATCCAACACACTGCAACTTTACGGGCTCAGATGTCAGTAAAGAAACAGACGTTACTACCAAAACGTACCACACACATTGACCTAGTTGTCTGGTCTCCAGTCAGTGACGCTGAGTGTTGGGAGGCACACAGATGGGTAATGTGTCAATGTGAGGTGGACACACACGGATGCAACAAAAGAGCAAAGCAAAAGAAACCATATGGAGTTAATGGGATGTTAAAGAAAAAGAAAAACATAGCAAAACAAAAATGATGATGATGATGATGATGATGATGATGATGGGGTTAGCTCTGGGAGGAAGATGGAGAATGATGCTGCTTACCTGAGCTGGGTGCGCAGTGATGAGATCTCCCGCGTCATGGTCTGACTGCTGTCTGTGAGCTCCTCCAGCTCCCTCTGCAGCTTCCTCTTCTGAGCGTTGGAGCGAGAGTTCTCCTCCTCCACCTCCTCCAGCTGCCTCTTCAGCTGCTTCAGTCGGATCATTGACTTATCCAGCTGTGGTGGGGGGGAGGAAGAGGGGAAAGACGAGCAGGAGGGTTCAAAGGTTGAGGTGAGAATCAAGATTAATGGGGAACAAAGAAAAAAAAAAAGGTTTTCCAAAGACGGCAGATTAGTCTGAGAATGGCAGGACTAATGCTGATTAAACCTGGAGGATCACTCCCTGGTGATGTTTTGGGAGGAGACTCCACAGGGGACAAAGATGCCAGGACAGAATTAGGATTAGTTTGGATTGAGACGGATAAATCTTTTCTGTATGAGGATGATGTCTTTTCATCACAGCACTAAGCTGACCTAATTAAGCCAGAAGAAGACCTGATTCAAAGGTATAGAGGACGATCTTTTATTTCTGGGAGGATCATCTAAATAAGTGGTTATCCTGGTAATATGTTCATATAAGGCTCTCCTACATGCTTATACCGTTAGCTATCTTTACTTTCAGCCGCATATGTGTGATGTCATTGAAGCTCACCTTTCTCACCGCGGTTCTTTGAAAATGGCTTAAGGTCGTAAGAGAAAAAGTGTCTACGAACTGTATGAGAAGAAAAGAAAGGCCTCTGAAGAGGCAGATATATCCCAGAATGCTTTGCACGGAGAGCTCTCCTCGCAAAACTTTATTTGCTGTCACAGCGGCTTGCTGTCGCCATAGGCTGTAGCTACCTGACAGTGGTGACTAATAACAAAGATGGAGCAGGCACCACGCAGTGGAGTAACGGGAAAGTAATCATCTGTCGGAACGGTAAGTTGACTGAGTTCAAAATAAACATTTTCTATAATACCTTTAAGATGTCAGTGTTTGCCTTTTAACAGCCGTACCTGCTCTTTGTACCGGTCTGCATGTCTCCTCTCATCCTCTGCTTGCATCAGCGCCTCTTTCAGCTTCTTCTCCGTCTTCCGCGCCATTTTGCTTGTGATGGCTCTCTCCCTGTGGGGTTGGAAATTGGCAATTAATTCAAGGTTTTAAGGTTACCTACAACTGTCATGTTAAAAATCTACCTTCTAGAGCTAGGAACGAACCCCATAAGCAATTAACTCGGTTCCAAACATACCTATTGAGTAAAAGAAAATATTTTCCTTTAAATTGAATTGAATAATGGTTTGTAATAATTGTTACACTGGTGATTTAGTAAATAAATGCATTAAAAAAGGATTATTGTACCTACTAAATTTATTCATTTTCATTCAGCAATTTTTGTAACTTTTCATAAAAAAAACAATAAATTTTCTCATGCCGGGAATATCTAGGCTCTCTGACGGCTACATAGATACCATTTAGATGGTATGGTTCACTGCATATAGTTCTTTCCATTCTCTATTACATTTTTGAACATTAAGGTCACAGAAATTGGCTGCAGAATAGCTAAAAAAGACAAACATATCCTTACAGCTAAACTATTTAAACTATCAGCTTAAGTCATTTTTTTTGCATTGCAAATACTTTTGTAACACACAATTGCTATGAAATGGTATTTTGTCTTCATTCTTCTCTCACTCTGGGTCACACTTGGGAGTCAATTCTCCGCTGAGATCAATGAATGACTGACTGAATGAATGAATGAATGAATGAATGAATGAATGAATGAATCAATCAATCAATCAATCAATCAATCAATCAATCAATCAATCAATCAATCAATATCTAAGGCTGTATGGACCAGTCTCCTGTTGCTGGCATGTATCAATAAATTTAGGTATAAGAAGTTCCTTTAACACCAGATTAATCTGATATTAAACATAAAAAATGGTCAAACAGGATGCAGCGGCAGGCTTTGTAACCTGGATGGATTCAGAGTGCAAAGAGCTAGATTTGCCTTTTAGGAGTCCCAGAACAGGGTTAGGGTGAGCAGGAAGTCAGACCAAAGCATTGCAGTTCCTATTTATATAAACCCCAACGACAGGCTTTTAAGGCATATTTTAAACCCAGTTTTCAGAGGGAGTCTGTATGGCTCTTTATACGTACCAATATAAAAACAAACTTGTACGGATGTAACAGTATTTCAAGAAAGATTTTACAAGATTTAATGATAACCCTTCTTTTACTTACTGTCTCTCTTGTTCCAGCTGCTCCTCCATAGAATCGATCTTAGCCTCCAGGGCGGCGACGCTGAGTTTGTTTTTGCCCCTCACCGCTCCCTCCAGCTCCTCCACACGGGTCCTCAGCTCCTTGTTCTGCCTCTCCAGCTGCTCTCTGGAAGCTTCGGCCTTCTGAGCCAGAGTCCTCTCCCCTTGAAGCTGCACCGTCAGCGTCTCCACCTGTGGCACAGCAGCAGTGAATGGGTGGGTGTTGAAAGCCCCTTTTTGAGAGATTTATGCCTTCAGGTTTGTATTATCATACCTGCAGGGCTGTCTTCCTCTGCCTTTCTGCCAGTAGCTCTGCATTTGTCTGCTCCTCTTCCAGCTCCTCCTCCAGTTGACTGACTCGAGCCTCTAACCTCCTCTTTTCGTCAAACAGTGCGCTCCTTGAAGAACGCAAAATCTCATGATTCCAAATGGTTGAACTGAGAGGAAATGATGTAGAAGGTGTGAGGTACTTACTTTCCAGAGGTGTTGTTGACCATCTCTTCAGAAAGCTCGTCCCTCTCCTGCTGCGCCTGTCTCTTTTGTTTGTCAGATACAGCCAGTTCCTGCACAAACACATGGATGTAAACATCAAACTCTAACATAGGCTGACTTCACAACATGGCATTCTGCAGTGATTTCGCTTCAAGACAGTCAATGAACCTTTTAAAGTGCTGTTGTTCATATATTTCATACAGACTTTCTGAGGTTTTTTAAAAAACATTTTATCTGCCCTAAAGTCTAAAGAAGCCTAAAGATCTGTCCACGACGAAAGTGGAAAGTTATGTATGATCAAGGGCCTTTTTCCAGCTGTGATCCTAAAAATCTGCCTCTTTTCTTCCATCCAAATAAACGTACCTCTGTGAGGTGCAGGACCTCTGCTTCCAGTGTTTGTATTTTCTTTTCACTGTCTTTCGACTGTGCGATCACGTCGTCTCGAGATAACTTCGTCTCATCTAGCTCGCGAAGAATCTCCTTCATTTGACCCTGACACAAAATTAAAATGTTAATTTAAAGTCATGTTGATGAGTACAGGGATTTTAAGGATGTAATGATGGATTTGTACCTGCAGCCTGCGGAGCTGTTTGACAGAATCCTCTTTGCCACGACCTACTGCCTCTAACTGGGCCTCGGCTTCTTGTAGCTCTGCCTCCAGCTGCTTCTTGGCTGCCACAGCCTGAGAGCGCTGAGTCCTCTCCTCTTCCAAGTGGATCTCCAGCTCTTTTACCTGGTTCCAGAAAAGGGAGATTAAATGAAAGAGTGATTTAAACAAAAATCAAAAGAGATACGAGTGCTTTAGCTTGTGCTCCTCTCCACCTGCTTGCTGAGCGCCCTCCTCTTCTCCTCTCCCTTCTCCTCGTTGTTGCTTATCTCCCTCTCAAACTGAGCCTTGAGGGCCTGCATGTTAACCTCCAGCCTCAGCCTCAAGTTCTCTGCCTCGTTCAGCTCCTCCTCCAGCTCCTGGGTTTGTGCCCGCAGGTTCTGAACTTCTGTTTCCAAACTCCTCTTGGTCCTCTCGAGCTCGTGAACCTACAGTGAGATTAAAGAGCCCTGTGACTAACTGGGAGCCAAACTAAAAAAAAACACAGCTCCATCAGGTTGATCCATACATTTTTGCCGACGTCATCCTGCTGGTTTACGAGCTGCTCCATTTCCTGGCGGAGCTGCTTGTTGGCCCTCTCCAGCTCGTCTCTTTGGTCCTGTACCTCCTAAATGCAGAGAACCAGAGGAATGACTGATAAAAACACACAAACTTGACACAATATATTTTTGAGGGTTTATTTTATATTGAAGCTTTTCATGGTTTTATCTACCAGCACTTTACATTTGAATTCACATCTCAAAGTGCTACAGTTCAAAAAGGGAAAATCAAAACAAAGGTTAAAAGACCATAACATTAAAAACAGAGTAAAGGACAATCATTACAATCAATACATTCAAAGGCATATGTAGCCTATTAAAAAAATCTAAAAATCAGCAATTCTAAGCATTTCTAAGTAAATAGGATGATCTGCAAGAGGAATTAGCATTTTTACCCATATAATAAGAAAATTAGATATCATGCACTTGAAATAATAGACTATTTTGTCTTATTTTAAATGTAAATTGTCTTATTCCATTGGGAAAGTGTCTCACTTATTTTAAGAAAAAAACATCTTACTTAGATTTACATTTTTTGCAGTGTACTGAGAAATAGCTGAAGCTCAGTCAGATTGGATGAAGAGTTTCTGTAAACTACTACGTTTTTTTGTTTGTGTTTTTACGGCACTAGTGGCTCATTTTTTTTGACAGTAGGCTGACAGGAAAGGGGGTACGAGAGAGGGGGTGAGACATGTGGTAAAGGACTAAGGCCTCTGTACATGTGTGATTCGCGCCAACCACTGCGCCACCTGCACGCCCTGTAAACTGCATTTTTCACTTTTTGCTATAGATTCTCAATAAGCTCTTGACTATAACTCAGCTAAACTTATGCTACTTTAACACCGGCCGTGCTGTGGACAGCAAAAAAGCTCCTGCTGCTTCATTTTGGATGATTGTAAACATGAAGGAGAGAGGCGCCTCAAGTGCATCTTTGATGCTCCTGAGGCGCTTCCAGTAAAGTGTGTAAAGATGTGCCTGATGCTTCTACTGCTCCTGTGCTCAATGGCAGAGAGAAGTGAGAAAGTCCACCTCAAAACATCGCCTGTGCAGTCAGTTCATCAAGATTTCGATCCTGCCTTCAAATATTATTTCGCTGTCGGAGCCGCTCAGACCCCCACATACCGGCGGTGCTATGTCCCTTGGAATTCCCAGCAGCAGCTGGTTTTTTTTTTTAATACTGTTCGTCGCTGGAAGTAGATGTTTTTCAGGTATGTGGTACAAACTGCAGAAACCAGAATAATAAAATCAAACCTATTTCGTCATTTGAAATTAATTTAGGCGTTAATAGACAGTTTCAGAGGAGTGACCATTGGTCTCTGCATCAGCAGTAATGTCTCCATCACCCTGCCAGCTCCCAGATCAGCTTCTCTGATTGGTGGATGTGGCGCCTCGAGCAGCATAAGTTGAATTTATCCAACTCCAGCAGCTACTGTTTGTGAAGCACGTTGGGCGCGTCAGATGCTCAGAAGCTTATGAGCCACTACTTCGGCTGCTCAAAACTCGCTGCAGGACCTTTTGATGCGCCTTCATGCATGTCATCCAGTGATGTTGCATGTAAACCAGCTGCTTTTGCTGCTTCAATCACGTGCTGTGTGAACTTAACATTATCCATCGACTCCCTGTGATCTAAACTTTACCCGACCATTAGGCCACTCCCTTTTATCTTGACCATGCCCCTTTGATCTATACCACTCTCTCTGATGAAGAGGAATCCATTCGATCAAAACATCCCAGTTCCCTTGTTGGCTATTTGAAGCCTCTGACAGTTTTTGTTTCAGGTTTATGTATCATTCATCCCCATCTTCCCATCACTACACAGCAGCCTCTCAGTTCGTCCTGTAGAAAAGCATGATGCAGCCACCACCATGTTTCTGTTGCCTGGTGTTTGTATCCATCACTGCTCTGCTTGTTTTTGTTCATAAATATTCTTTATACCAAAAATAAATTGCACAGATAGAATTTATTTGCTAATTTTTGTGACTTCTTTTTTTTTTTACTATGTTTTATTTAGGTTAATTGGATTAAATGGAACTTAGTAAAAATGCTTATAGAGGCTTTTAGGTTTATATCTGTTTAAAAAGTTTTAAAAAGTAGGTTTTAATTGTTATTCTATGCTGCAGTGTGTATTGGTCTCTAAAACAAACAGAACTTTAATAAAATGTCTGGAAGACTGTGCATCTTTCCTGTTGTTACCTGAAGGGATCTGGACAGGAAGAGACATTTTGTTTCCCTCTCTCGACTGTCTGCTTCTGCCTTGTCCCTCTCCTCTGCCAGACGAGCACTCACTGCCTTCTCCTCAGCCAGGCACTGCGGGGGACAGACACAATGTTGTTGACAAGGCCATACAGCAAATAAAAATGACCTCTGTTTAGATGTTTCTATCTGTGTTACTTCTCTGACCTGATCAAATTTCTTCTGTCTCTTTTCCAGGGCAGTGCAGTTCTGTCTCTCTCTTTGAAGGGCGATGGTCATGTCCTCCAGTTCTTCCCTCAGTCGTTCCCTTTGCCTCTCAACTCGCTCTTTCTCCTCCTCCTTTTGCCGCTCTTTTTGCACAGCACTATCCAGCTCTCTCTGGAGCTTCCTGCGTGTCTCCTCTCCGGTTTCCACGGCAGTGCTCACCTCCTCAGACTGCTTACGGAGCTCTGCAAGCTGCACAGGGGTACACATCGGTGCCATTCATGTAACTGATCATTTTAAAGACTAGGCTTTATATCTAAGATTGAGAAAATGGAAGATTTTCTAAATATGAAATCAACTGTGTTTTTCTAGTATTTTTAAAACTACTTTATTATGGGGATAGAAATATCTGGAACAAATGGGTGTTTGTTTATTGGTAACTGCAGAAAATAAGCTGAGGAGTGAGCCTCTGTTGTACCTGTTGGGTGTGTGTTTGTATCTGACGGCTCAGCTCTTTGGCTTTTTCTTCCTCTTCCTCGAGTCTTTCCATCAGTCCGTTCTTCTCCTCCTCCAGAGCTCTCACCCTGGAAGAAAGGGCCATCTTCTGACGAGTCTCATCCTGCAGAAGCTCCTGAACACAGAAGAAAAATGTTTAAACCTTTTAACATCACAACCAGAGATTACAACTGGAAAGGTACGTTACCTTTGCATCATGCAGCTGACTCTCCAGGCTGCTAACTTCTTTAGCTAGTCGAAGAGATTTGGAGTCAGAAGAGGTCAAATTGCTTGACAGCCCTTCAATCTCACACTAAAAAACAAAACAAAAAAACAGACAGGATTGAGTTTAATGGTGCTTAAATGTTTTTTCTTTATTTAAGGTAGTAAAGCCAAACAGTGATTGAATAGAAAGGAAACATTGGATGAACACATCAGTCCCTTTGTGCTTTGGTACCTGCAGCTTGTGCAGCCGCTCCTCCCTGTCTTCCCTCTCCCTGTCGGCCTGAGTAAGACGGGCGGTGAGCTCCTGCAGCTGACTGTCAGCCCTCTTTCGGCCTCTTTCACTCTCTAAGCGGCTTGCCTGAAGGTTCTTGATTTCTTCTGTCAAATGCAGCCTCTCTTCCTCAAGCACGGATTTGGCCTTTTCCAGGGACTGACGCGCCTGAAGGAAATGCCACAGTGAGTGACTGAGCATGTATAAATATATGTTTGCTAACATATGGAGGTGTTTGCAGCTCTTCTACCCTCTTGCTGTTGTCCAGCTGCTCCTGCAGGCTTTCTATGGCAGCGTTGTGTTTGATTCTGACTTCTGACAGCTGGGCTTCGTGACGACGGGTTTCCTCTTCAATACCTCGCTGAAGATCATTTAGCTCCATCTCCCTCCGGGACCTGTGGAGTAAAGCAGTAAAAAGGAAATTGCTATGATGAGCCTCTTCATCCTGATCTGAAAGCAATCATTATGGACATTTCTGGTTTCTGTACAGTGTGGCATCATCATAAACGGCATATATATAATGACAGAACTCCAATGTTCCTCTGCATGCCTGTTACACTGTTCATGATGCTTTATGCATGATGTTTTTCCTATTTTTCCTTTTTTTTTTAATAAATATCCTCTGCATGCTACACTATCAGCAAAGACTCAGACAATGAAAGGGTTTTATTTGCCTAAGCTCTTGCTGTGCAGCTGTTGTGTCCAGAGAGTCCTCCAGCTCAGTCCTCAGAGCTTCCAGCTCCTCCCCCAGGTCTCTTCTCTGTTTCTCTGCTCTCTCTCTCATCACTCGTTCATTCTCCACCTCCTCTTTCAGCTCGGAAACTTGGGACGAGGCCTCCCTCAAAGCTCTCTGAGCTTCAGCACGCCGTGCGCCTTCTTCCTCCAACCTGACAAATTAAAAAAAGGGGAATCAGTCAAAATCCTTACAATTTTAATATTAATGCTGCTGTGCTGAAACTCACCGGCCCTGTAAGGTGGTTATCTCCTTCTCTTTCTGTGTCAGAGTCCCTCTGAGCTCAGCGACCACCATGCCAAGATCCGACAACTGCTCCTGGGCCTCTAGAGAGTCGCTCTCTATCCTCCTTTTCCACTTCTCCTGCTCTAAGCGACCCTGCTCCTCACGTTTTAGACGTTCTGCAAACAATCCAATTCAATCCAACTTTGTGAAGCACTTTAAAATTTCTCAAAAGACCAAAGTTCTGTACAGTGAAACAACATAACATCATTACACGGACTCAAAAAATGATACAAGCAAAAAAGACAAATTTAAAATCAGAACTGTACAATCTATAATAAAATAAAAATGAAAATCATTTAAAATAATGTATTGCAGACTAAAATCAACATCTCACACAGTTTAGAAAGCCAAGGCAAAGAGATGAGTTTTTAAGATTTAAAATCAGACAGGAAGTAGGCAATTTAATTTGCAATGGAAGGTCGATCTCCATTTTTGGAGCTGCCACAGAGGAAGAACGATCGCCCCTAAGCTTCCTTTTAGCTTTTGGCACCTCAAGAAGCAGCTGATCGGCTGACCTGAGTGAACGCGAGGGTGCATGGAGGTGCAGCAACTAAGAAAGATAAGATGGAGCAAGACCACGGAGAGACTTTAAAACAAATAAAAGAACTTTTAAATGAATCCTAAAATGTACAGGGACTCAGTGCAATGAGGCTAAAATTGGGGTAAAATGCTTATATTTATAGGTGCAAGATAAAAGACGTGCTGCAGCGTTTTGCACTCTCTGGAGTTGAGCAATCTTAGAGGCACTAACCCCCCAAATAAAGTGCGTTACAGTAATCCAGCCGGGTAGTGATAAAGGCATTGATTACTGTCTCTAAAGGATCTCTGGAGAGAATGGGCTTTATTTTGGCCATCTGCCTTAACTAAAAGAAACTTCTTCACAGTTGCCTTTATTTGGCTGTCGAATTTAAGATCAGCATCCACTTTGACACCAAGGTTTGTAAAAACTGACTTCCTACACTGGGCTGGGTAACCTAGCTTGGTAACAGTCAAGGGGATAAAGCATGATCAACTTTTCAATCACACTTCAACAAAGATATATTCTTCTCTGAACAGAATCACAAACGGCCATTATAAAACGCTTATATTAAATATTTTTGTGCTTAAAAGACACCATAGACTCTTCTTTTCGACATAAAGTACAAATAAATAAAGTAACAGCAAAAGTGAAAGTCTGATAAAACAACAGCTGTCTGACTAGGTGATATATACCTTCTAGATCAGCAATGACGGCCTCCTGCTTGTTCTTAAGTTTGTTGAGGCTTTTGGTTTTCTCTTCCTCCTCGGTGAGTTGGTCAGTCACTTCACTCAGATGTTCTTCCAGCAGCTTTTTCTCCTGCTCAACCAGAAGCAGGAAAGGTTCATGAAAAACACACATAGCTGGATCATACAGCTAAAACTTCTATCACAAAACATTTATTAATTTCAGTCGATATGATGAAACTTTTATATCCATATAAAACGAAATAAATCCTAAAGAACACGATCACAGAATCCTATACAGACCTCTGACAATTATTTTGCCATCTTTTTAAACTCCTTTGCTTTAAAAAAAAAAAAACGAAAAAAAAAAAAACACACCTACATCTACATTAAACGCAGAACGTTGGTCAGAGACAAATGTTGAATTCATAAACTGTTATGTACATTGAAATATCAAAAATGTGTTTGAAACCACATCACTGACAATAGATTAAATCATATTGTGATATATTTATATTAAAATTTTGTCCAGCCAAACACACAACACCAAGGTTTTCAGCTTCTTTGGTCTAATTCCCTTTTCTTCACACATGCTATGCTTTATTAAAATATGTCTTTATAACTTTGAGCTTTTTGTTAAAGGGATTAGGGGTATTTAATGTGACACTGACCTTGCTAAGTCTGTCTCTCTGCTCCACTGCAGTTAGGAGGTCCGTCTCCAGACTCTTCACTTTGGTTTCCAGGGAAACCTTCTCCAGCAGGAGGCGCTGTTTAGCACCTTCCTCCTCCTCTAGCTGCTCCTCCAGGTCCTGAAAAACACGATGTCTATTCAAACATCCTGCCCAGCATCCTATAATTGTTTTTATGCATGTTTTAAAACTTTGCAGACTGCATCTCGCCTCTTCCAATCACCTGTATATTCTGCTGCATCCTCTTCTTCTCATTGGCCAGCTGAACGCCTCTCTCCTCCTCCTCCACCAGTCGACTCTCCATCTCGCACAGGACCTCCTCCAGCTCCTCCTTCCGACTGGCTAACCTGGCCCTCAACTCCTCCGCCTCTGCAAACAGCTCTGCTTCCGCCTGCAGCTGATCGGCCAGCACCGCCTTTTCTTCTAGTAGCTGGAGTGTGAGGGAAGGGAGTGGGATGATGGTAGGTGAGTGTGGGCATGATTCATAAACACTAAAGTTTGAGAACAGAGGCAGGAGAAGAAGAAAAAGGAAGAGGGTTTGTACCTGAGCGTGCCTTTTGTCCAGCTCAGAGTATTCCTGCTCCACTCTGCTGAGGTTTTCTTTGGCCTTGTGGAGCTCCGTCTCCCTGACCTGGATCTCCTCATCCTGTCGGGTCACCTGCAGCAAAGGCTTCACCTGGGGGCCGCAAAAAGGAAACAGAACTTAAATCGAATCCCAAAGAAATGCAACTGCTACTCATCACCATTCGATTTTGTATTAAATTAAATATTATTAGAGTAAAAGCAGGTATGCACTGAATGCTTCATGTCATTTGTGTGCACCTTTGTAAACAGTCGCCACCACTGCCAGTTCCTGAGTTTAAGGTAAGCAGCACAGTTTCTCTGCATCACTCTCAGCGCACTCAGCTGCTGCTGCTTCTTCATAAAGGCCCTGAAACCAGAAAAAAAACAACCAGTGTCAATCTCTGTTCCAACACTTTCATTTTATCTACCTTATATCAACAGTTATTGTTTTTAAAATGGATAAATATGTCACTAAATAGGATAAGAAAGACCAATTCTTGGTAATCTTAACCTGTAGGAGAAAGCTGGAATACCAAGAGGGAGGACATCTATCCACAGGAAAATATGCAAATTCATTGCGGAAAAACTCCAGGATTCAAACCCAAAACGTTCTTGCTAGAAGGCTAAAGTGCTCAAAACCTCACCACACTGCTGCCCTCATTCAAGTATTAACGAAAGAAAAAAAGAAGCAGACTTTGTATTTCTGCATGAATCTGATGTCTGCAGAATTCAATTATAAAAGTTAAGTAAAATCTCTGTATTGTAGAAAATAAAATGTATAAATATCCACATGAAATCAGTCATCAATCACCATTTAAACGGCCAGTATTGCAGTGTTGATCAGATAATGATTTAAAAGAACTTTGAGCCAAAAGGATCCAGATTTCAAAGCCTCTCTTTTAAAGGAGAATTCCGGTTTTTAACACTTTTAGCCCATTTTCTGTAGTGTCCAGGATGAAATCGAATGATCGACACCAAAATTTTGACAATTGGTCCTGTCTCTGCTTTTTGGCTCATGCAGAATCCCCCCCTGGCTGCTTCAGAATGGCTTCCATAGTGCATGTCCGATAATGTCCTTAAAACAACCTTAAACGTTCTTTTTTTTAAATATGCTACTCACCGGGTCGTCAGCGCTGTTCAATGACGTTCCAAAAAAAGTTTCGTAAAGAAAAAACGTTCCTGTAGTGTTTTATTTAGCATTTTGTAAATCCCATTGAGTTCTGTTGGAATAGTCAATATCCCTCCGCCACCGGAAACGGGGCCTGTTTACGCTTAGTTGTAGTCTTTTCGCAAGGCCCAAGTGTTTCTGCTTCACTCTGTGTACTCCGACGTTGAGGTGCTAACGTCTCTGTTAAACACTTTAAAAAACTCTGAAAATGGAATACGAAAGGTGGATTCTTGAGGAGGACATATTGGACTTTGAGTTTGACGGTAGAGGATACCGTCGCCAACTAGTGGTCTGGAGTGTGCAACGCTTCAGATTCGAACAGGAAGCGGAAGTTTATAAGCGGTTGTGATGTATCGGAAAAAATAGTTCTGGGATTTACAAAATGCTAAATAAAACAAGACAGGAACGGTTTTTCTTCACGAAACTTTTTTTGGAACGTCATTGAACAGCGCTGACGACCCGGTGAGTAGCATATTTTAAAAAAAGAACGTTTAAGGTTGTTTTAAGGACATTATCGGACATGCACAATGGAAGCCATTCTGAAGCAGCCAGGGGGGGATTCTGCATGAGCCAAATAGCAGAGACAGGACCAATTGTCAAAATTTTGGTGTCGATCATTCGATTTCATCCTGGACATTACAGAAAATGGGCTAAAAGTGTTAAAAACCGGAATTCTCCTTTAAAATCATCCCCTGCTTTCTGTGCATTTGGACGAAGCCTTACTTGCGTGCAAGAAAACCTCTGGCGGCGCTCTGGAAGCGTATGATGGTGTCTGTGATCTTCAGGTCTCTCTCCTCTTCCAGGTGACCCAGGACTCCGGCTCTGAAGAAGACTTTGCTCTGACCCACCCGGTACAGGTTGGGGTCCAGCTCCAAGGCGTTGATCTAAATGACGACAGCTAAGATCAGTCAGCTGGTCCCACATCTGCCTGTGTGTTTAGAACATTTCCCTACCATGAGCTCTGAGGCCTGTTTGCCATCCATAAAGGTGCGAGGGATAGCGTTGGGTGTTAGAATCTCGTATCTGGAGACAAATGTAAGAACAGATTTGTTTGAGTAAGGGATTCTAGGATGAGTGAGAGAGAAAGAGATGAAAGGATTTTCATTTGTCGACCAAAGGCTTTGTGTAAATCCACACCTCTGTCTGAACTCCTGGAATGGGATACGGTTAGGGAATCCCTGCCTGCAGATACGGATTCCCTCCAGAACACCGTTACACCTCAGCTGGTCCAAAACAAGGTGCGGTGCTAGTTTACCAGCCTGTTGAGCAAAACAGCAGCCAGAAAGAAAATGATGAGATATTTGATCAGTTTTATCTGCCCTTATCTTTTGTCTGCTCTAGAACAGGAGGTCTCACCCTCTTCTCGTGGTTGGGGATGATGCACCGCAGGAAGTTGGGGTTGGTATTCCTGAGCGTGGCCATCAGCTTCGTGAGGGACTCCTTGTAGAGCTGACCTACAGTCCGAAACATTCCCTTCTTCGTCTTCAGCCCAGCGGCTCCAAATGGGACCGTCCCGCTGCTCTCTCCTGTGGACACCTGGTCCAGACCTATTATCCTGTCGACTGGACGGGAGCAGAGAGCTGGGTCTCAGTTTGATTGAAATCATTATGTAATCTGAGGTGATACAGCGCCATCAAAACTTCTGGTAGCAATGTGTAAAAGGCTTCTGACTCAGCAAAAAAATGTATTAAAAAAATCTTAGAAATAACTGATTCGCAGTTTGAGTAGATTTAATCAGTGGGTTTGATCCAACATTTAAAAGTTTTTTTAAGTTAGATTTATTAACTACATGCTAATTACCAAGTTAATGTAGAGTAGCTATTCATGTTTAGATAGGAACCATGGCTTCACTTTACCCTGGAGAGTAAATATGGTGGGAAACAGTCCCCATTATCCTTCGCCACTCTTCAAAATAGGAAAGAAAATTAAATAATAAGAAAAGGCAACAAAAAAATAGAACATCCTTTACTGTGAACCTAATAAAACTGGAAGAGGGCAACCATTTATACATCGGTCAAAAAAGGTCTTTGCAGAGAGCCGTAGATGTTAAGAGTGACATTTTGGAGGCACCAAGTCTCCAGCACAACCACTGGAATATCATTTATTATCATTTATATACTGGCTGTTTAAGAGGCAGGCAAGGAAAAGCTTCTCTTGTGTCACTAATAACAGATAAAAGACTGACTCTTATAGAAACTAACACTCCTCTATGTAGGCTGAGAGTGAAACAAAGCAAAAATAAAACGGCCCCTGATGGGCCCTGCTCCACAGGACCTACAAACCATGTTGCAGCATAGACTGTTTGAATATCAGAACCTTTCATAAAGGAAAGTAATAGAATCTCCTATTAAGAAGAAGTTTAATTCAGGGAGTAATGACCAAAAACAAATGGCCATGTCGTTTGAGATTAATTACTAGACAAAGAAAAACTACAAACTGATTTTTCTAAAATATCCATTTCCTACCATTTCCTTATAAAGCAGCGAAAAAATTCAAACAAATTAAAGGTTGGATCTAAATAAACAAACATATATGGTGAATTTATGTTGTTGTGATAAATACTGATTTGTGTGAAAGCTTTTTACACATCTTTACCAGGAGGATGCAAACAGACTTGGAGGGAATTATATATGGTCTGTTACTTGACTTCATACATATTTGTATAAAAACCAGTATAGGCTTCAGTTGAGACAATTAGTGAGATGATGTGGATTTGTAGCTGAAATTGATCCAAAGCCAGTATCAACAGCAACAAGTGAAATAAAGCCCAGGACAGCCTGTCATGCCTAACCTGTTAGCCCTGGACTTGCTGAGACACGCACGACACATTTGCACTAAATGATTAATTCTGTATTTGACCCTGAGGCGTCTGGAAACTCTTTATACCTAGCAACTAATTTGTGTTTTTTCTTTGATACTTATCAAACAGATTCCAGTAATTCAGGAGATAAGTAAGAAAATCTCAGGAATAACAATCCTCATTATTTATTAGAAGGTCTCCCAAACACACACAGCAAATTAGCAGCAAACACACAAACATTAAAAGAAAATGTCTAACTTTGTTTCATTTGGATCATTTCAGAATGTCAAAAGCCTTTTAAATCAGTGATTTTGAGAACTGGACAGGTGAATTCACACTTAAATTACCAGTTCCATTTGCTCCCATATTTCTACAAGACTAACTGGATTCAAAACCAACAGGTTTAGGGAACCACTGATTTAAAAGTTAAGAAACAGAAATAAAATCATGACTATAAGGAGCACGAGCCACTCGGTGTCGGGCTGCATGAACAATGAACTTGTGGATTAAAACCTTAGTCAAAGCCATCTTGAGAAGCAGTCCTACTTCTACAACATGACAGCAAGGCAAACATCAGTGTTACTCTAAAAGGATCTTAACATGAACGAGAAAAATGAATAAGTCAAAAAGCTGCTAGAACCTGGTTTGATAAATGTTCAGACTTTTTATTATCAGCTTCGGTCCTCGGTTCACACCTGCCATCAGTTAAAGTGGAAGGGACGAACCTGAAATTAAGTTCAGTTTCCGTGGCCGGATTCACCATGGTTTCCATGGAGGTATAGAGAAGGTAAAAACTCATGAGAAAAATGATTTACTTGTCATAAAGCTTTTTTAAACCAGAACACAATTGGCAGCAAAAAATAGGATAAAAAGCGAATAATCAATAACTGTAAACATTTCTGATGAAAATGACCCCCTGACCAGGTTTTAGGTTTAAGCTAAAATTTCATTTGCCTAGAAGTAATAATGCTGATCTGGAGCAGCTTGAATTTGGTAGAGAATCTGTAGAAAAAGCTAAATATTAGGGTGATTGAAAGGTGGCCCTCCGACCTCAAAGATAAACCATCAATATATCAGTAGAAACAAGCAGAAAGTGGATCACTAACTATTTAAATGGACTGGTTGCTTGTAAAATTAAGATTTTTAAGAGATGCAGATAAATTATTTCTTAAAGTTGATACTAAGGGTGGGCGATATATTGAGTATACTCTATGTATCTTGAGTTTTCCCACGCACGATAGTTAAAATGACTCTATCGTACAAACTCCCATGACGACATTAAGCCATCTCCATCAATTTCACTGAGAGTTCTACTTTTCGCACACTTTTTAAATGCATCAAAAAACCCTCCTCCCTTTTATTTGCAACCGGCAAACGAAATATGACGACAGCAGGTAATTCAGTTAAGCAATATATGGCAGTGGTTTGGATTTCACGCTCAGGGCGTTGAAAAAAGACAGTAATTCGTAAGACGTGCCGGAACAATCATTGCTGCAAAAGGTAGCAGTGCAAATTCTATTCTATTCCACCACCTAAAATGCCATCGGCTGCAAAATGAAGGCTGTTGTAAACTCTGCATGTCAGCGTCTCCCCGCACACCAATTAAAACATTAAATTAATCAGCCGTGGAGCCGATGACGTCGTCATTTGATAAAGCTATCCCATATGAGTAAAGGTTAGAGATGGAGGGAAATCACAGACGCCATTTATTCCGTAACTTATCGTAAATGTTTTTTAATAGCTCTAATGCCTGTGCTGTGGTAATGTTCAGAGGTTTTGCAGGCCTTCTCTAAACTTGGTAATGTTCTCAATTTTACAACTTTTTGTGTAAAATTTTTTGTACAACTTCTTTAAAATTCCCAGCACGTCAAGGTCATATCCATACATTTTCTATCACACTTATCCCAAGTGGGGTCACGAGGGGTGCTGGTGCCTATCTCCAGTGGTCTACGGGCGAGAGGTACACCCTGGACAGGTTGCAAGTGCATTGCAGGGCAACACAGAGACAACCAACAATTCACGCACACACTCACACCTAATGAGAAATTAGAGAAGCTAATTAACCTAACAGTCATGTTTTTGGGCTGTGGGAGGAAGCCAGAGTACCCGGTGAGAACCCACGCATGAAAAGGGAGAACATGCAAACTCCATGCAAAAGCCCCTGGACCGCGAACTGAGCTCTGAACCTTCTTGCTGTGCTAACCACTGTTCCACTGAGCCCAGCCCAGAGATGATCTGATAATGCTCTAGTTTTGGGGCAATATTTCCACTTTTGTTTTTTGTAATTTTAGGTCAATTTCTTTTTTCATTCTGGATTTTTTTTTAAATATACATTTTTTTATTTGCCTTTTGTGTTTTTGCTTTGTTTTGTGTTTTGGTTGCTGGGATCTTGCTAAAGGTTCAATACGGGCACCGAAGGAGATAATGTGGCAGTATTATTTGTGAAAAGCTATGAGCTGGTTAAAGTAAAATGTTTCAAATTTGAAACCAAAAGTTTGGATGAGTATATCAGTGCAATTTTATGCACTTTATTGTTTTGAAGGTAATTTAAATATAGTGTGATATATATCATGTATTACAATATAGCCCAAATACAGCATATTAGATTTTCTTCATATCACTCAGTCCTAGCTGATACTGATTTAACTGTTTTTTAATCTCTTGAAAGATGATTAACAAATAGGGGTACAGGTCGCTGCAGCTTATGATTTTTTTTTAATATTCTTCCTTCAAACAGGTTTTATCTTCTTTCAGTGGGAATTAACGGGATATATCAAATCAAAACTCACGTTCAGTTTTTTGAAAATGTGAAAAACCTGTCATTTTATCAGGAGTGAGTTGGTTTTTAAGGAGCCACTGCACAACATAACACACAACTAATGCTGATAACAAAAGGGCAAAAATAAAAAGACAAAAATCACGGCACAATCACAAGCTGGAAAGTGACAAACTAAATAAAACAAAACTGCGAAAGAAGAGGTAAAAATGAAACCTACTGTCGGAGCCATTAGTCTGTAGAGTGGCATAGGAGTCAAAGAAGTAAACACGAGGAAGAGTTTGAATGTCTGATGCAGGAAGCAGGACAGTATCGGAGGCAAGACCAGTGGGATGGGAAGAAGGAGCCCAAGTAAGCACCCAATTAGTGAGGAAGGGAAGAGAGGAGGAGGAAGAGGCCAAACAGGTAGAAGACAAGGAGGAGGAAGAAACAAAAAATAAAGAGTAAAGAGATGTGGAGCAAAGTTAATACATTTTGCACAAGAAAAATAATAAAGAATTTTAATTGGCTGACTTGGGATGAAAATATTTTTTCTGTTATATAAAAAAAAATACAAGAAGCTCTATAGAGTCATTATTCTCACCCTCTTTCCACAGTTCAGACACAAAATGATCAGACGACTGATGGAGAAGAGATGCAACATTGTCGTTTAAGGGATCCATGTTCTTTATCAACCAATCGTTTGCTTTGTAGTCCACCTGCGGATCAGGATATTACACAGAGCCATACAGGGTGAGAGGGAGCCGTGCTAACGACAAGAGGTGAGGGTGTAAAGAAACGGTACCTTTCCGGCATAGTGAATTATGGAGAAGTCGGCTTCCCCGCGTGGCTGCTTTGATTTGTAGAACTTTGAATGGCTGCCTTGTTCGGAGCAGAGCTTCTCCACAAATGTACGGTCAGTCGCCCGAGGGAACCAGCACTCTTCATCCAGCAGGGCCAGAACACCTGGTGGGTGAGCCTGAACAATTCAAGCGTAAATATGACCACCTGGCATGAGTTGAAATGCGCCCGTCTTAAAATCAAATGGGGTATTACCGGTCTCTCAATAAGGTCGATGCAGGGTTGCAGGTCAAGGCCGAAGTCGATGAAGTTCCATTCGATGCCCTCTCTCTGATACTCCTCCTGCTCCAGGATGAACATGGTGTGGTTGAAGAGCTGCTGCAACTTCTCGTTAGTGTAGTTGATGCAAAGCTGCTCAAAGGAGTTCAGCTGTAGAGGAAACAAAAAACAAGGATTCAAAAAAGTGCATGTACAAACTCTCCATCAAAGATTAGAAATAATGAAAATGGTCCATTAAAAGTCTTTCAGATACAAAGATCTACAGTACAATTACAATCAGAAACATTGCTATGGAAATCGAACACTCTCTATGGTTTCGGCATGATGGTATAAACTGACCTGGAAGATCTCAAATCCAGCTATATCAAGGATGCCGATGAAGGAAGCTCCTTGTCTCTGCCTGCGGTCCAGGGCTCTGTTTATCCTGTGGACCAGCCACCTGAACAGGCGCTCATATGTTGCCTTTGCCAGCGCCTCTATGGCAAAGTCAGCCTAGGAGAAAAAACATAAATGCCTATAAGTTGCAGACCAACAGAAGATATTATATTTAAAAAAATCTTGCATCATTTTCCTTCCTTTCAGTGGTATGTAATCTCACCTGTTCTTTTGTCTGGGCTTTTTGCACGTATTCTCTCCCGACTTTGATCCTCGGAGTGAGAATGGCCCGGGTGAACTCGAGCACATTGATGCCCAGCAAATGGCAGAGCTTCTGAGCGGCCGTGTTGTCGGGCATGGAGGCCTGATCATGGTTCTTTTCCTTTGTGAAGGATATGTTTCCAAACTGCAGCACAGCAGAGATCACCTTTAGCATGGCTGGAGGGGGTGAAGTGACAGAGGAGAGAAGGAAGAGAGGATTAACAGCGATCAAACAGCATTTTCTAATTCTAACCACACTCTGCACTAGCCTCTTTCTTACACACGGACTCCTCGGGGGTGAAGCCCATTATCGCCACAGAGTCCATGGTCTGAGTGAAATTATCTGAATCGCTCTGACCAGGAACAGGGATGGAGCCCCCGCTGAGGAAACGATATTCATCCGCACTTCCAAGGAGCAATTCCGCTGAGAAATTTCAAACAACAGATTAATACACAAAAATAAAATCCTTTAAATAAAAAAAAAAATACACTGGTTTATATTTAACAGTTTTGTACTTTTTCCTCACCTCTAGTTTCCTCTGAAGCTCCGCACAACAACTGGTAAAAGATATGAAAGGTCCTCTCATCCTTGGCCTGACGGGTAGCCCGAGACTTTTCAAGAAGGTCTAGATTTTTATGGTTAGGGACACGAACAAGCCATAATAGGTGGGATTTATTTCTTAGCAGCCTCAGTCTAATTTGGGGATTTCTTAGGCTGGGATAGAATCTGCTTCATACAAAACAATATAAAACAAAATAAAAAAATAAATTAAAAAAAATCACATATCACATAAAATGTTAATAAAAACAGAGAGAACTACAAATCTACAAAGACATAAGATAATCCAAAACAGGTCAGGATACAGGTCTCAATGTTGGCGCCGACTATGTACCCCGCAACGTCAAAATTAATGCGGATGAATTTGCCCTGAAATGAAAAGGAGCTGCAGGTCAGAGCGGTTTTAAGTTAAACTTTGCCTCAGAGATAAGGCCTGTCACAATAATCAATTAATCACATGACAAATTCAAAGGATCAATCATTTGTTTTCTTGTTTGTTTTTTTCCTTGCGTCTTCTCCTTTACTAAAGAGACAGAAAAGTTTCACTCGGTACATAAATCTTTGCTCACCCCTGCCCTTTCCTTAAAGTAGTAAACTTATGCATCAGGTAATTCCAAGGACTGTGTTTTTGTTATGCACCTCAGAATGTAACATGAGAGCTTTTGAAAAACAGATATTGAATTGGTTTAGGAGCCAAACTCGACATCTGCAGTTGGGGAGCACATTGGATTGAAATCAATCAACATGACTAACCATTTAACTTGAGTAATATGATTATGATGCATCTGTTACAAAACATTAGCAACTGAAGGCTGTAAAAAAACAAAAGCAATTATTTGATCCCAACAGTCGTCACTTCATTGAGTGTTTATTTGCCCAACAAAATACCCAAAAGGCAGCACTACATAATCAACACCATTATCACTAAATTAGTTTCAAATGGTCTCCCAACAATATTATTTTTTGTAATAATAGTTTCAGGGTCAATTTATTCTCCAAAAAAAATATTATTGTGACAGGCCTGTGAGACATAAAAGACAGATCTTACAAATCTAGAGGAGTTGTCGTTCTTAACAGTCTTGGCGTTTCCAAAAGCTTCCAGTATGGGGTTAGCCTGCAGCAGCTGTCTCTCCAGCTCACCCTGAGAAACACCGGAAACATATAATCAGCCTCAAAGCAGCAAATGTGATACAGGTTATGAGGATAAGGAAGGAAAACCTAAAGAATGGCTTTTAAAAGTGCATCTCTTGCTTTGTTTTTATTGTGCTACAACATTTTTAAATTTTAGAAGGGCTTCATGTAATAAACCAACACATAGTAGAACATAGCAGTGAAGGAGAAGGATAATGATATTTGATAATGATAGAGCTTCTATCAGCTACACAGATCTACAGACAACAAAAATCAGATCCAGTCCTCTTTGAAGCATAACAGATTGGCCTCTCTGAATATTAACCTTCAGGCATTGCAGCAGAACTCAGGTTTGACTTTGACTGGGTAGCTTGTAAAACCATTTCACTGTAGCTGAAAGTGAACCTCCATCCCAGTCTAGGCTTCTGCAGCCTCTGTGTTTAGCTCAATCCATATTAGAGAGCAGAGGTGGCTAAAGTACGCAGAAATTGCACTCAATTACTGAGTAATTGGTCTACAGTACTTACTGCTCACAGTTGCCACTCAATTTCTGAAGTTTTATAAAATGATGTTTCAACGAATAAGAAAAAAAATTAGCATATAGAATCAAATATATAAACAATAACAATTTGATGCTTTTTATGTATCTTTGTTATACATCTTTCAGTTATATAGCATATAGAAACAAGTATGTTATGAGTATGTTGCTAGAATAAGGTAAGTTACTTCCAGTGACAGGATACAATAAACTGGTTACTGATTTTTGACTTGACCTTCAAATGACACGGCAGTTAGAAACTAAAATTAAACCAGTGAGGAATAGGTTCAAAAAATGTCTCACTTAAACAAAGACTCTAGGTGTGTCTCTCTGGTGTATTTTTGTTAGAAACATACTTTTACTTCACTAATTGAGTTCCCAATGAAGGGTGGAGTAACCAGAAATTTTACTTATGTAGTGATAATTCATCATATTTTCATTTTACAAAGAAAGTACAATGTTTTATTAAAAGTACTTTTTTCTAATAAAAAAAAGGAATCAAGTAAAAATAACTGAATAAATGTAAGTTACTACGAGGGCTGAGCGATAAATTCTGTTTACAAAAAAGTACATTTTTCCACCAACGTACTTCTTGGGCTTCCATAGCACAGAAAGACATCAGTCCATCTGTTTTGTTTTAGGATGTTTACTTATAAATGATTAACAAATTAAATATGTGACACCACCACTAGCTGCAACCGTTTGGTTAGTTATACTTTTATTGTTTTACAAGCATTTTCACAACTTGAATTTTGTTGCTCTTTTAAATAAGGTCACCTGCCACAGGGAATGACTGAAATAAAAGCTAGTTTTTGAAAGTCATGTCATTTGCCATTGTTATTATGAAACTTAGCAGAGGAAAAAAAACTTTAATAATCGGATTTAAGGCAGGAAAAAAAAAAATCAAAGATTAGATTTTTTTAACCCTATCGCCAGCCCTAGTTTCTGCCCACCTCTGTTAGAGGATTTAGCAAAAGGTTTCATTTTAGTCTAATCTGACCAGGGCACACTCTTTGGTGTTCACAGAGTTTCCTTCTTGAAAACATTCCTCCACGTCGAAAAATACAAACAAAACATATTAGGTCTTACTCCTCCACAGAGGTCATTAGAGGAAGGTACGGCTAACAGATTCCCCCACCTTAGCCATGCATCTTTGCATCTTCTGCAGAGTAACTCTACAGTCATGCTTTGGTAATTTTGCAGTTGTGCTTTCCTTACATTTCTGGATCATGGATTAAACAGTGCTGTATGAGAGTTTCAAATCTTTGGACATTGTTTAAAAAGAAGAAAAAAGACAAATTTTATTTAAGGGGATAAAAATAAGTTGGCTGCATACAAATGCATGCAATAGTTTGGATTTTTATTTTTAAAAGGCTTAAATGATTGAAATTCTCCTTCCACTAATACTCACTACTTAAAGTCGTAGGGAATCGGCTGTTCCAACGGTTGCATTTCCGAATTCTCCCGAGTGTTGCCGGACTTTACATGAGTGAATAAAGTGAATGTGATTGGTCGATTATCAAGGGGGCGGGATTGTTGTTGCGGAAGGTTCGCAAGCAAGTTTAATTGTGGCCGGTTTCTCTGAAGCATCTTGCTAACCAGTTAGCAACTTAGTGCTAGTAGGTTCGCAATGGGACCAAGTAGCACTTAGCAACAACACTGTCAAGGAACGCTTTGGACAATGGAAACATGCTAGAAGAGGAGAGTTTTATGTCGGAGGTCATGGATGAGTCTCCTCCGTCATATATTTTTCATTTAGAGGACAGTGCGGTATAACTAACTGGCCTGCATAAGATAACGCAAAAAAAAAAAGAAAATACAGATTTTAAGACAGGATTTAAAAAAAAAATAGACATTTTCTAACTTTTTGGAATGATATGGTCTAATAAAGTGTACATGTATATACATGTTTAAGCCAGAATTATTTAAATTTTAAATATGACTTCCCTACGACTTTAATATTGGCCCATTTCATGAAATTTTACTGAAATGCACAAAATATTTGAATTCTAACATGAAAAAGTATACAAAACAGTGCTGATCTTTGATGTTTGCATGAAAAGAGCCGAACAGCAAGGGCAAACTGATGCATTTTGCAAAGAAAATGACATCAACTCCAAATCAATGTCACACAAATTATTCTCCACATTAGCACAGGCACTGCACTTAACTTAATCAGCAATCCAGAATAACAGCTCTCATGAAAAGAGATCGCGGTGAAGCTTAAATTCCTTGAGGGCCAGTGTCCTGAACGTTTTGGATGGGCCTCTGGCCAAAACGTCTGAATCAAATGGCTGCATTGCTTCCAAAACATTAAAATACATTCTACACTGCTTAGCTAAATACATGATTATCTAATTCAGGTGTGCTGAAGTAGCCCTGAAGGAATTAAGTTTAACACATGTGAGCTGGAAAGTCTATGAAACAATCGAAAAGCACTATTGGGCTGTAGCTTCGACACACAAGTTGCATTCTTGATGATTTAAGCAAGCTGCAAAAGCATGACTGCAGCTGTTGTGTTACCAATGCAGCAGCAAAAGCTGAGAATTGAAGAAGCCTTGCTGCGCAGGAGGCTTATGCTCTACAGACATTCAGAATATGTAGACCAATCAACATCAAAGGCAGAAAAATACTGTCAAAGCACAGAGCAAACAGAATAGTAAAGCATTTGCATCTCATCCCCACCCATTCACACACCCAAATCTGCACTCTTTCACCCATCCTGTGCAATTTTAAAGTCACATCTTCAGCAGAAAAAGCTTAGCTAAACGTACACGAATGGATTTAGGAAGCAAATCTGAAAACAGAACATGAACCCCATTGGATGAAAATAACTTTTGAGAAAGATGCAGAGAACCAGAACCCCAGAAAACCTTTAGGTTTTTAGGATTAATAGTCCGGAAAAGAAAAAGAAAATCCGCAAAAGTAGGATTTTCATTTTTAGAGGGAATCATATCAGGCACAGAATATGATTTTCCACAAGATACAATTAGCTGAATAGTTTCATACTCACATATTGTAAACTCTGGTGAATAGTGGAAACAAATGAGGTGTAAGGAGAGAAGGTTCATGGATGGGTGAAATTTTGGATGGGATAAACAAACAAAAAGAAGACAAATAAGACAACAATCAAAACAACAAAAAGGGTAAAAATCACATAAACATCACAATGCTACACTGTTAATAAGGATCTATGTCGGGAGTGACGTTAACATGTTACCCTGCTGAGTTAGTTAGACTCATTGTGGGGCTCATTAAGCAGAAAATAGGACAGAAAGAAGCAAAGGAGGATAAAATGGCAGCAGGACACAGTTAACTCACCCTGTTCACCAACGTGCTGCCTCTTGTTAGGGACCGAGAACCATCCATCTGAACATGGAGGCAAGACAAGAGGAAAGAGCAGGGAGAAGAAGCAGAAGGAATGAGGGAAGGAAATAATGAAGCGGAGACAGAAAAAGGAGAAACCCCACTCTGAGAGATCTACAGAGGAACCTGATCTAGTGTTTATTTAATAGGTTTGTCTTAAAATTAATTTTTAAAAACTAAATGGGAAATTGTTACGTAATAATTTTATTTAATCTTAAAATTTCTGGTGAAATATTTTTGAGAGTGTACATCTCCAGACTGCTGTTAGTGTGGAGAAAGGTAAACAGAAAGCGGCTGAAACACTAATCATTTAATATAGATTAAAATGGTAGAGATGCACATATCTTTCAGTGTGTTATTTTTGCTACAAAATTAACTAAAGTAAATTGAAATATGTCTGGAGCTGTACTCTCAGCAAGTCATATCAAAACAGAGAACTAACATGTTACTGTTAGCCTAGCGAAGTGCTCAGCATGAGGTAAGAAGTAAAGCTTAGCACTTTTTAGGCCAAATCATAACCCTGCAACTACTGTGCCCTACAGTTACTAGAAATACCCCTGTTGATAAGCATTGGCATCAACACAGCGCCATGCAAATATCTCTCAATTTTTAATCTGTGCAAATCAATTTTTTTTTAATTGTAGTTAAATCCTGTACTTGGAAAACACGGGCAACTGCATTAAATTTTTTTCAGGTGAGAAAAATCTGTCTCGCTTTAGAAGGATTCCCTTTAAAGCTCTTCACAGATTAACAGGCAATGGAAGCTACTGAATATAAGTCTTTTCTGATGACTTCTATGGATAAAAACAGCCAGAGTCAGAGGTTGAAAAGTAACTTCTTTTATTTTCTTTCTGTTTCAATCACTTTAAAATATTCCATCCAAACTTTCCCCAAATACTGTTTTTTTGTTTTTTTAGGACGACCCTTTGTGTGAGCTGTTTCTATGGTAACATACCTGCACAGGTTCCTTGTTTCTACCCAAAGTGCTTCCTTTATGAGACGAGGCAACGTGAGCCAAATACTGGATGACTTTCTTGGTGTTTTCTGTTTTCCCAGCTCCAGATTCACCTCTGTGACACAAACACACACAGATATATGAGGCACATGCACAGTAAATTCCAGCGTCAGTCTGTATGCTAATATGTAAAGCATACAGCTGGAATTAGGACTGGTGTACAAATTCAAAGGAACAAAGCAAACAGGAACAAGCAGCTTAACACAACACTTTTATTTCCCAACAGAAAGCAGTTGGAGGAAACAGTGTTTCTATTTCTTTAGGAGAAGACTGAAGGAAGTAGATGCAGAAAATAAAAGAAATATCTAAAGAAGCAGACTGCTATAGAATGAGCCATCTAAAGTAGGATTCTTGGCAATGAGAGGAAGATTATAGCAGTAAGACATGGACGGCAGGAATGAAGACAGACGAGAGAAGTTCAGACAGGCAGCACGCTAAATTCCCACAAAAAGCTTTGTGTTAGGCTTTCACTTTTTCCCCCATTCATTTCTCAATTCTTTTTGAATTGTGACAGAGATTATGCCCAACACAAGTAACTATCTGATGACAAAATGCAGCTGTTTCAAATAAAACAAAGTTTTAATATGATGTGCTGCAGCTTGAATGAAAAAAGAAATAGAATGATCCACAATTTGGAGGAAATCTGAATTTATAAATGGATCCAGACCCTAATAGAGCCCACTGAAATGACATCAGAGTGAATAATGGTCACACACTGCCATGCACAGTGTGAGGCCTAGAGGCATGCTTCTAATGGCTAAGGAGAGTTAAACCCCAGAGACAAGCCGGGGACTCAGTGAAGGTTACTCACGTGCAAAGGATTGACTGATCTTCTCGATCTGTGACAGAGAAACAAAGTTTAAGGATATGTAGATCATAATACACTGCATCAGTTTTAGATAAATAAACAACATTTTAATACATCTTTAATATTCGGGTTTTAAATCAGATGATTTAACACTCAGACTCCTATCACTCATTTACAAAGTGGCACTGGGAGAGAAAAGCCGGCCACCAGCTTAACTGGTCTCTCCAGGCAGCCGACTCACATTTAGCGCTGGTTCTTATTGGGTGGACGCCGCTTTCTATGGCGGTGCTATTTGTTTTCTCAGATTCTCACGCGTTCAGTTAGGAGGAATTCCTACTGGTCCTACAGGTTTAATCTCTGTAGTAACACACCTACAGCTGTTGCCACCTCTGAGCCCCCTGAGGGAGGGCAACTGAAGCCACAGAGCCTCATCAGTCCTGTCCTATTATTTCAGGTAGACATGCAGAGACAGTGGCAGAGGCATTGCACAATAAACCCTTAACTGCTTTTGAGCGGTTGCTGGGAATTCTTTCTGTCTCGTTTTGTAAAGTCAACATGACAGGCAGGGAAAAAAAAAAGAAGCCTGTCATGTAGTGTTAGAAAACCTTGGCTCAGCACATCAAACGTACAATTGAATCACTAGCTCTAGGTTTTATTGGAGGTGTTATGCACATTTCTGTGGTTAAAAAAAAAATACTTCTCACTTTCTATCTTTTACATTTTCAAAGGACGTGATAACAAACCATGAGTCAGAAATCAACCACGCCTCTAAATAGCATTCATGCTGAGGCAAAAAGATCAAAGATCACTGAGGATATCGTACAGCAAACGGTGCTCAGAGAGTCACAGGTCACACAACGTGTTGATTACCTTGCAGCATGCTGCGATAGGCCGCCTCTGATATGGCGTAGATGTGTGGGGGCATTTCGTGGCGCTTTTTTCCACGATACATCTCCACAATGGACTCTGTGTAGATAGGCAGGTGTTTGTATGGGTTCACCACAACACAGAACAGCCCCGAATAAGTCTGAAAACGACACAGAGTGGATTAAATTAGACTTTTCAGATGCCAATCACAGAAAAATTTTCAGTTTGTCTCAGCAGAAAACACAAATCAGATCAAGACAACTTTATCTCAAATACCAAAAAAAGAAAGAACACAAGGAAAGCTTGACAAGGTCACAGGCCACGTTTCTGCCAGGCGGTATTTCTGCAGGCCATTTAAACAAAATATACAACATATCGAAAATGTACTGTTTCACCTAACAGACATTATTTGGCTTAATCCTTTCAATTTAAACATTTTAACTGTCATCAACACCAGAACATAAGAGGCTGCTTAGATCTCTAAATTCTATTACCAGTTTGGCCCCTCTTTCAAAAGCAAAACTGTTGTGTCAAAGCAAGTTTTTCTAATCTGTGATACACCTGGCCCAACATGCAGTGCCTTGCAAAAGTAGTCTTGCCAACGGACTTTTCCCACGAACTTGCATGTGCGTAATTGGAAATCTAAGTGATAGGCCAACATAAAGTATTGCATAGTTATGAGATTAAATAAAATCTAACCCCCACTGAAGGAGAGGACAAATGTCATCGTTAAATATTTAGTTTTGAGTCCACTTGTTTGTAATAAGATGCTTGTATCATGCAAACATGCAGAAAAATCAAAACAAATTAGACCAAAACTGAACGTCTAAGGCTGTCTGCAGATAATGAGCATGACGCTCCGCCCTAAACCCAGTATCCCCACTGGTAAACATGGCGGGGGCAGCATCATGCTGCAAAGACAGGTTGGTTCTCCAGGAACAGGGAAGCTGTTCCGAGTTGATCACGAGATGGGGGAAGTTGATCTTTCACATATCTCCCCAGTGAAACGTTAAAGTCCTTGTTTACAACGTGAAAAAATGTGATAAAGTTCAGGGAGTATAAACACTCTTACAGGGAGATCCATGAATGGCTGAGTTCAATAATTCAACGAGACGATTCCTACCGAATAAGGAAGTAAATGCCACCTGTGAGCACATTTTGTGATTAATCAATGCCAGTAATGTTTTCCTAATGCATTCCAGTTGCAGTGAAAGTCATAAATGACGGATTCACACAACTCAATCTTATCTTATACTGTTAAATTGCTCTCTAATGTGCATCATCATAATTTCTGAACTAGTTCTCTCAGCTTAATTCTAATGGTTTGTTCCATTAGAATTAAATTTTGTCTCATATTATCCTACTGTAACTCCACATGCTGCCTAAGTGCATATCTTATCATTTACTTAAGATGCAGACTATCACCCAGTGTTAAGCCCAGCATTTCTTCTACTCACATAGATCAGGCCTGAGTAGTATCGCTCTCTGATGTTGTGCAGCACAGAGGCCTCATTGAGGCAGGTGAGGTCGGCCATGTCCTCCACCTTGCTGAAGCGTGGAGGGTTCATCCGCTGCACCTCCTCCCTGGACAGGGTCAGCTTCCGCTGGCTGTCTGTGAGCTCCACCTCCACCTCATCGCCACGCTCTTCCCGAATGCTGGCCGACTGAGAAAAGGAGAAAATTTACAGCAAAGATGAACTTATTTCCAAGTTCATTTGGAATATCATTTCCAACCAATATTTAGAAAGTAGGGCCATATTGCTTAAACTTTGTATAACTGAACAGCACTGTGGAAGGATTTGAATCCACCATGTTTCTTATATTCTGTTAGTTATCCTTATCAGTAGTTCATCAGCCTCTCTGGAGGCTTTTCAATGTTTCTTTTTGTGACTTCAGATAATTTTTGCTCCTTCCAGCCTCTTCATTTGATTATGATAACAGTTAAGGGGAATAAAGCTAACTTTAATTAATCTAGAAAAAGGCCTGATATACAGGACCAAAGAGCAGCAGGATCCTTCAGTTGACCTTCTACTATGAGTTACCCAAAATCTGAATCTAGATAAGTCATTTTTTCTTAAAATAAGTTCATTTGTTCTTGAATTGAGGAGGTAAAAGAGACATTTTGCCAATAGTACAAGACAATTTACACTTAAAATAAGAAAACACAATTGCATTGTCTTATTTCAAGTGCATATTTATCTAATTATCCTATTTTAAGAGTAAAATTACTCATTCCATTGGCAAACCATCTCATTTACCTACTCAAATTAAGGGTGAATACACTTAATTTAAGAAATTTTTACTTATTTCTAGATCGTTTTTGCAGTGAGAAACATCTTTGCTTGAGCTTAAAAACCTTTTCTGTTTCTGACAAACTGTTCTATCCTTGTTGCTGTTTTAATGACTTAACAGAGACACATTTAAAAACAGCTCATGTTTACTAGAATGTTTTTAAAGGCAGGGAGGTAGAAAATAATACATAATAAAGAGATTGAGATCGCTTGAGTTTAAAGCTTTTTCATGTAAAGAAAATGATTGAAAATGATTGAAAAATTATTAAATGTTTGATTTAAAACTCTAGAATAGGATTAAAAGAGAGAAAATATAAATAATTGTTTATCTCTTCGGAAAAGACTTGTAAACATTATTACATACAACAGCATCGCTTTTGTATTAAAGCAACAACATATCTTGAATCAGAGGTACAGCGGTATCACAAACAGCTGGTATAATGACTGCAATATTTAACAGTAATATTTCATGCTTTCCAGGTTTTAGCCTATTTTAGATGTAGTGTGGTAATGCCAGCTACTATTCTTATTTAAAACCAAAACAATGTCATACAAGACTGTTTATCTAAAGAAAGATGAACGTATAAAGCTGCATTTCACTCAGCTTTGGACTAAATATAAGCTAAAATATATATAACCTAGAATATTAAGACAAACGTAATAAAAAAAGGAAGTACAATCACTAAGGGTTTCCCAATATAACTATTTTATTTCTGATACGATACCGATATTGCAGCTTTGAGAATTGGCTGATACGTTTATTGACATTATTAAGATATTAGTAGGAATCATACCCCTTTTATTACTTATTTTATACTATAGAAGTGTAGAAAAGGCATTAAAACAGGGAACTAAAGTCACTAACATAAGGTATGAAATCAACTGACCCGTGTTAAATAAACCAATTAGTTAAAGAAACTCTTTACAAAAGCATGAAAATATCGGAAATTTTAGATGCCGGCAGATAAAATTGGATATTAGATTTTTGGCTAATATTAGATGGGGACAATAACTGCCAATAACTGTAGTATGGGACCCTATGTTTGTTGGTGTTAAAAAAAAACAAGATTTAACTACATTACTGACATTTAATAACCCTGGTTTGATTATCAGCATGACGTTTCCCAATCAACTTCCCCTAAATTTCCAACTGATGTCTGTTTCAGTGCAATTTTGGTTGTTTAAAGCAAAACTAGTTTAAATTTCTGATATAAGGGACAATAATCTGATGCGAAGACCCTTCTTTTAACCCCCTATAAGTCTGCATTATTCTGTGGGTTCTAACAGGAGATTGGCGTGAAAGCATCATGAAGTTATTGCAGACTTAAATCAAACAGTGAGCTCATATTAGTCATTAAATCAACATTTTTCTCACTGATTTCTTCCTCATCTGTGCTTCAAATCCCTGCTGTTAGCTTTAGCACCGTGATCTGTGTCAGGTATGATGATCAAATAGACTTCATCCAACAAGGTAAAATATCAGATCAGAAACAGAGCAACACTCTTAGAATATTCTAGATTTTGATTTGTCGGCTGGAGGTTTCTTCCTGTTAAAAGTGAGATTTTCCTCTCCACTGTCGCTACAAGCATGCTTAGTGTGAGGGATTTCCTTCGAGTCGATGAGTCCATGTAATCAACTGTTTTCCCTTTGATAGAAAACTTTTAATCAATTTGACTGTATGATCTGGTTGAATTGTAGAGTACCTTGAGATGACATGTGTTCTGGATTGGCGCTATAGAAATAAACTGAATTGAATTGAATTTAGAATATTTTGATTTTCTGCATTTCAACCAGTTTTAGATGAATTAACCTTAAGACTTGGCGGAATGTGTTTCTGGAGTTAGTCCTCAGAGGATGGACCGTGATCATGAAGGGATGTACAAGAAGAGGAACACAATAAATCCAATAAATTTCAAAGAACCCTACTAAGCACATGGACCTATCCCCTACACCATTACATGACCCAGGTCTGACCTCACTGTCTAAATAATGTGTTGCTGATAAAAACAAGACTGATTGATTCAAAAATTTGTATTTTTTTAGCTTCCATTTTTTTCATAGCTGACAGAAGCTTCAACCTATTCTGGTTTTCTTCTGCTGTAGCCCATCTGCTTTAAGAGCCTATTCCCACTAACTTGGCTGAAACGGGCAGTCCTTTTAGCTCTTCCTCAATCCTCCATCATCCTGAACTAGTTGGGCAATTTTCCTCTGGCTTGAACAAGACTTTTTTTTTTTTTTGTCCAGATAAAATTAATGTTTTCACTTTTGATACCAAAGTTCATAAACAAGAGGAAAGGTTGAGCATCTCAGCAGATCAGCGGTTTCGGAAATACGCCATCCAAAAGCATTCAAAATCTGAGCAATCTGACGCTTGGTTGAAATCGCACAAGTTGTCTATTCCTCAGCCAGATACCTAATTGCATTGAGACGCTGCCAAGTGATAGGCTGATTCAGCAGCTGATCGGTGTTGGCTGATAAAGTAGCCACAGAGTGAACCCTGCAGCTACATCTGAACCAATGTTTGGTGGAATCTCTCCCTGCCAGCCCTGCAGTGTGACTTTCTTAGTACCAGCGCTTTGCTCTATCACTACTTAACATGCCCAACATATATAAATATGACTCAGTATCCCTACAGTATGGTAGTCACAGATAGACAGAAAAACACTGGCTAAGACTAGGTCTGGGTTTTCCTGTAAGTGTGTGGTAATTTATTTTTTTAATCACTATGAGATCATGAGATCAAAATGAAGTCAGTGTCTCTGTAACGGCCTCCTTAACTTCACAAAGCTGAAGGAGCGTATTGTTCTATTCATAGAGCTTTTTATGAAACCAGTCCAGCAGAGAGACAGAGAGAGAGACACACACAGAGACAGGGCATTAAATTCATGAGTCACATCTTAAAATATGCCCACTGAGATCCTGAAATGCACATCACGCTGAAGCTTAGATGGAGCCGAAAAACATTTATTCTATATCAAGAGCCTGTTTAGAGCTGCAGGGAGTGAAGGTTTCAGTAAAGAATAAAAAACTGGGTAAAGAAAACGGAAATTAAAGTAGTGTCACAGGGATTAAAAAGCTTCTTAGCATAAAGACAAAAGCACACACACACCCTGTGGTCCTTTGCGTCACCTACCTGACACACCTTTTGGTTGAGGGAACACACTTAGGGAAAATAATTTACGAGATGATTAAAGTTTAGTGAAAAGAAAGAACGTTGGGACAAGTTGTAAAATAAGTGGAATGCCTCTAAGGCCAGAAATGATGGCTCATTGTCACACCTGGAGAGTGGTGATGAAACGTGTGAGAGCGCATGTGTCAGGGTCTAAGGGATGCTCAGGGATTAAGGTTAAAGATTCGGGTTGAATGAAAATGCTGAGGAGTCGCTGTGTTCCCATGATGGCTCACCTCGAAGCCATGCTTCTCCGACGGCACCCACACCAGCCTCTTGGCCGCCCAGTCGGCCTGGCTGGCGGCAGAGAACATCGGGGAGTTGGCGGAGGGAGAGTTTGGGGTCACGCCCGACGACAGGAAGCGGGTGACATCGTTGGGGACGCCCCCCGTTGGCTTGGACATGGTACTGCTGGCACTGCGAAACAAAGGAGAAGTAAGATCATATATATATATATATATATATATATATATATATTTTGCTCAGTGGATAGTGAAAATGATGCTTTCACTTGTTGAGAGGTCATTCGCTTCAGCACCAGCGTGTGCAAAAGGAGCCTTGATGGCATGCAAGTAACATGCAGCCCATTTAAACCCGATTGGGCAGAGGATGGCCTAGATGGGAGATGTGGGAAGCGAAGAGGATAGAAGACAAACTGGAAGATTATGTGGATGAAGAGGAAAGGAGAGGAGAGGAGGGGAGGAAGGCTTGGAGAGACAGCGAGACACATCAATCCACAGAGCTCACTGACATGACAGGAGAGCTGGGGGAGGGATGGTTGGGGGAAAGTTCAAAACAAATCAAACTCCCAGTTTAAAGCTTTTCCTTCCACTACAACCCAATGAACCCAGTAGAGATAAAAAGAAACCTTAGAACGAAATGCAGGAAGGGTATAGGGAAGCAGCAGAACACTGAGTTGCCTTAGGGCCTGGTGGTGCAGTGAGAAAGGAGGTGACAGTTGCTAAAAGTGGTTACAGCTCCGACACCAGAAGTCAATCCAGAGTCAGACTGATGGCAGTCAAAAAAAAAAAAAAAAAAACACAACAGGATGTCAGGAATCTCTACCAACAGTAAATATGCAAATATTTCAAAAAGAGAAGGCTTCAGTTCCAAAAGCTGGGATCACAAAACAACTTTAGGATTTTTGGATTTTCTTGGGAAATTAAACAACAGAAATCACCATCATAAAGCAGCAGGACTTAAAAATATATAGCAGCAATTTATATGCTGTCAAACCAACTACCATTGTATCCCTATTTATTGACAAAGTATACTCATCCCCTGGCCTAAATCGCAAATTTTCTCCAGTTAGTTGTGTGGCTGCGAAGCTGAAATATTCAGGAGTCGTTGTTATAGGTCATTATGACAGATTAGTTACAAATAAGGGTCTGAATCCTTAAACTGTCTTAGAGAGCGGTTCATCTGGTTCAGCAAAATCTGCTCCACAAGGAATAAACTGTAAATATATGATCTTTACAAAAGGACAAGAGGTCTACATAAAAAGTCACCAGCAATGAGACAAACCTTAACGAAGATCCAACAGGCAGATTATAGTCCAGATTTGTACAGAATGTGCTAGCTAATACGGCATCTCAGTTCCTCTGCTGGTATGTCATCGGGCCTGATTCCTAAACCTCGGTCTGACTCTTTTCCGCTCTGTCTTTAGATTTCTGCTCCCAACCCTTACCTGTTACTCAGATTCACCGCTGGGCGTGGACACGCTCACAAAAGAGCTGGCACCACCCAAATACCAGCTATGGAAACTATGCAGCCCCAAAGTGGGATTATAACAAAACTCTCAGTATGTTAATGGGCTCTCTTATGATGTATTTCAAATATTATTATAACCTTTTAACACGATTACTAATAGAAACTCCTACTGAACAGTCCTACACTTCCTGCTGCCCACTGAAGGATGGTAGGGTTAAAAGGAGTGACTAAATCTTTCTTTGGTTACAAGAAAAAATATATATTTTTGCATAAAATAGTCAAATACAGTAAGGGAATAAATCTCTCATACCTCCAACTAAGATATTGCATTTTTTATTAAAACGTCTATTGATATATATTATACTGGACACATTTGTATAAGCAGCCAATTATGGGCAAAAAGGTCAGGAAAAGCCTCTTACATCTATTGTTTGCTCTAGTTTCCTCTTGTAACACCTCACTGACAGAAAAAGTAGCTAACTTTCAGTTTTCCTTCAGTAACTTTAACACAAAAGAGTCTTGTATACGTTTCGCTGACATCTGACATGCTGATTTTGATTTAAAACTATGTATTTCTATTACAAATAAAATTGAACAAAAATATGTGCTTAAAGTTGCAGCTTGACTTTGTTTTTATGAATTACAAAAATGTTCCCTTGAATGGATCAAAGCTCCATGTCCTTATTTTACCTTAGTTTTTTTAGACTAGAAGAATAGATCAAGGAATACACTTCTTCATATTTAGATCCTACTTTAATACTGCTAACGCATATGAAACAAAAAGCTAAATTTTCTGTATTATCTTTGTTAATCACTGATCAAAGGATAAAGCGAGCTAGTGTATCAGCTAGCTTTTTGCACTTGTATTACTCTAGAAAGAGAAAAACAATAGTATGGTATGATATTTGGTGCTCTTAACAAAAAAAACAACCCTAAATTTAGAATTCTTAGAGTCATATGTTTGTTTTAGTCAATCTATCAAAAAAAACAACCCTAAATTTAGAATTCTTAGAGTCATATGTTTGTTTTAGTCAATCTATCAAAATAATAAACCTAACTTTGACCGTAATAGTTCATTAGCTACATTCTAAGGAAATGTTGCTGCAGCAGTAAACAATAACAAATTAAATACCTTATTTCTTTATATAACTGTAGCATCTTGAACATGTCATGCTTTAGTTAAATAAAATAAATCGCATCATATTAGTTTACTTATTTTACTCATGGCTGGATAATACAATCAAGATAAAAATATCTGAAACAGAATTTTTTTCTGGAATAATAGTAGCACCACTTCAGTGGTGTCAAAAGTACACACATTTGATACTTAAGTAGAAGTATAGATACTGCAGTTTCAAACCACTCTGGTAAAAGTTGAAGTACAGTATCAACTTGACCTCTTTACTCAAGTTTCTCCAAACTGCTTAAAGAAGTATAAAGTAACCTTTAAAAAAGAAAAACAGCCAGATGCCACTATATGAATTGAAAGCTCAATTTTTTGAGATAGGGCCAAGGATGAGGGAGGTCTTGCTGGTCTCCACCTCCAGATACGCTCTCGCCTGTGTCCGACCTTTCAGACATTTCAACGTCTTTTTCTGAATCCCACATTGTAGCATGGCATAGACAATTCACGTTTGCAGTTTGAAGAACACCTGCTTGCTGCTGATGATTTCCTTTAGCTAACCAATGAGTGTTTGCGTTATATGACTCATCCAATTACACTAGTTTTCACTAGATGTGGATTGCACCAATCATCTGCATTGGATGGCGCACATGGCGTGAAATAAATATTTATAAACATAAAACAGCAGCCAAGAGTAACTAGTAACATTTGTTTTAAAAATGTAAGGAATAGAAAGTACAGATACTTGTGTGAAAATGTAATGAATAGAAGTCAGTAGTAGGAAGAAAAATAAGTAATGGAGTAAAGTACAGATACCTAAAAAGTATACTTGGTTACTTGACACCTCCGCACTACTTTAACTTATTTTTTTACTTCATCCTAGAAATTATTCAAGAGTAAAAAAAAATACTTACTTAATGTCTATAGTGGGTAGAGCAATCAGACATTTTACTCAAATAAAAATAGTGATACTCTTACAAGAACTTTAAATAGATAAAACTTAGACTTAGATTTTATTTGTCATTTTGTTTACACAAGTGTAAAACAAAAAGAAATTTCGTTTGGAAACAGCTCACTGGACAATTTCATCTTAGTAAAAATGACTTTAAATTTACAGCTCTAACTTTTTTTTTTCTTAAATATAATAAAAGCAGCTAGATTGTGCATATTGTGCATTTTAATTTTCCATTTTTCTGTGTACATTTTGTAGTAATCTTATTCAGACTATGTCATACAGTAAGAATTTCACACCAGCCCACACCTGTTAGAAACCTTATGATAAATCAATCAAACAAAGCCACCAGTGACATCATAATAGAAAAGGCACAGCCAAAATGAGTCACTGCATAAAAGCCAATGCTCTCCCAGCTTTATTGGCAATCACAGTGAAGGACTTTGCATTATCTGTCACATAGCTGCAATGTAGTATCATAGCCCTCATTAAAGGACAGAGAGACTGTCGCAGTACAGCATGGACTGAACAGCAAACTCCTGCAGCAGCTGGAGTTGCCAAAAAAACTGTCTGCTCTCCTCCATAGCAACACCCCAGACAATAACCCCTGAGTTTGAACTGAGGTCAGACACTGCAGGGGTCCACCTCCTCTCTCTGTTTCTCTCTTATAATTAATATATGGCTGGGGTGTATTTAAAAGGTGGCGGCGGTGCAGCTGGAAACGCCTTTTCTCCCCCCTGTCAGCTCTGATGAGGGTGGAAGTGCATCGCGGAGGATTTATTTTATATTTTCTTTTTAATCACTTAGAAAAAAGGTGACATCAAGAAGCCATCGGCTGTGATAATTACAGGGGCCCCGGGCTCCAGAGGCACAAAGATGCGGCGTGGACCCTAAAAATAACCAATATTCTGAAATGAAACACCAAACTAAGGCAGAGAACCACACCTTCGGAGGAAGACAGAGGTAGAAATGAATCAAATCATCAATTATCATCAATTATTTAACCTATATTTCATTAAGAAATAGCACCAATATATATATTCAGCCTATTTATAGGTCAGGCTGCCAAGATTAAGCGATGAGCGTTTATTTAATAATTAAAAAAAAGACATGACGCCTTCAGACGCCTTAATGTTTCATATTTGGGCTCTGAGCTCACATTTACCAACCAAGCGAGGTTAGCCAGCTCCACTGAAATATGAGACGTTTAAAAGGATATTACTCTGGCTACTTACACTTGGATTAGGCAAAGGTAATTAAATGTCTTACCTTCAGGTTCCGATGTGAGTAGTTGCTGCGGTGTGAGAAAACAGAGTGAGGCTGTTTGGTGGATATTTCCCTGCCTGGTAGGTGTGTAGCCTTACCGCATATGCGGTTTTTTTATCATCGCATTGCTCTGTGTGAGCGGAGCCGCACACTCTCCGCGGTGGAAATAAAGCAGAGAGCACTGAGGGCGACAACGACGGCTTCGCTTCAGAACAACTGCTTCCTGGTGGTGGACCAATTAGGTTTGAGGAAATGTGTTTGACAGAGAGAAGACACCAATGAAAACCTTTGGTCCGGCCGTAGACCGGCCTTATGAATGCGGCAGCAGCTTCCCGCCCTAAATTGGGCAGCTAACTAGAGTATTGACCAATCAGGTTGATGTTAACGGAGATTTCTCGACCGATAGCCAATAGTAAATTGAGTTTGGGCTGGCTGAATTTGATTGACGTATAGGTTAGCCAATCGGAGCAGTTTAGCAGGCGGAGCAGCAGGTGCCGTGCGGCGCTCTCGCGCTACGGAGGAAGGGATTTGCGCCCCTTTTGTTTACCATTCCTTGGTACAGAGGTCCGCATTTCACTGATCTGATCCTGGATCTGAATTTGAAATGTTCCCAAAGTAAAAACGATTGCGATTTTTTGTTTTGTTTTTGGTGTCTCGCCTCAGACACGTGATTCAGATCATCCTTGGAAATTTGGCTGGATCTGCCTTTCTGTAGTAACATGGTCCGAGACTGTTAGTAACCAGTTTAACTGATAATGAATTATAACAAAACAAAGTTTAAATTTTCCATATCTTTTGACAGGCAGTCTTTAGATTCAGAGGCACTTTTTTGAATATATATTCCTGAGATGAAATAGTCGCTTTGGAAATCTGCTGCAAATAAGACAATGAAAACCAATTAAACATTAAACTTCAGTTTATTTTTTGTTTCTTTTAAAATGTAGGAACATAGTTGGATATACATATACATCAAATATTTTAATTATTATCTTTTTTTACATAGATAACAAAACCAGGTCAAGTAACTATCCATACATTTTTAGTTAATTGACCTCTGATTTTGTTTAACTGTGTCAAGTATAAATAGCTACTGTACTTAAATAGCTTTATTTAGTATCTGTATTTTATTTGAGTAATTATTTTTCTTAGGACCTTTTTGCTTTTACTCACATTTGAACACAAATACCTGTACCGTCTACTTCTTACTTTCTCCAAACTGTCTTGTTCCTTCAAGACATACCGTAATGTAACAGCTGCAACAAAACAGAGCAAACCAAGGAGAGAATTTGCCCAGTTGGATAGTTAGTTTAATAGTAATTGTGCCAAGTAATACACAGCAGCACTCAATCTATTGCAAATGAAAGTCTGTAATATAAAATATACAAACAAAAAATAAAGGAAAACAACAGTACTGCAGTTGTAACAGTTTATTTATGTTCACAAGAACAGGTAGGTGTGCGCCTTGCTCAAAACCCATCTAAGATTACAATGTAAAATTGAACACTCTCATTCTTAAAATGGAAAAATGTCACTAAAGCTTTTGATTAATTCCTTTTTCTAATTCAGTTTTTAAAAGTACAGCATATAATTCAGTTTGACAGTCTTTTAAAATGCAATGTTCTTTATTGTTAGCTATAAACCATAAGCAAACACTGTGTCTTTGAAGTCCAAAAGATGCCCTTAAAGCGAGGGTGTTTTGTGCTCAAGTTACATTTAGTGGCGGTGGAGGCAGGATGAATGACATGAGCCACCGCTGAGACTATTAATAGTACTTGGAAGCAGTGAAGAAGAAAAGTACCATGGAAAAGCATTAGCATTTCTTCTAACAACCAAAATGTTAATAGATCATAACACAGTTCCTCCTGATGTTTCAAAGCTTCAAGTATGATTCTGTAAAACATATTGGGCCATTGCAGAGCTTGGTCTGTCATAAAGGCCTTCACAATTTACTGTTGTGCAAAACTCAAACAACAAAATTATAAGTTAAGCCTTGGATAGGAACATTTTGGTACCTCTTTATAGTTTGCTTCCTTTTGAACTGATTTACACTTCAAGCATTTAAACAACTTAAGCTGTGGGATTCACATTAAATCATACAAAAATAAAACACAAATATTCAAAGTGCTTTGTAAAATAACAAGAAAAGTGCACCTAATATAGTGTGCAGTTTAATAAGGGGGGAAAAAAGCTTCTTGTACATTCAGTAAGTGCTCATGGTGTAACCCCTTAGCTGCTGAATGGATTAGCAGTCATGCTGCACTCCATTTACCTCTGAAGTTGGGGCCTCGAATGACCCAACATCCAACTTTACTTGTACTCAGCAGTCAGAATTACAATGGTAGAAGTCAGAGATACCAACTACAAGACTCCCTTTAATCATAACCCTGACTTGAACAGTAAAATGTCATATTCAATATGGCTACTCAACATAAAGTGCAAATTGCTGGATTTGTTGTTATTAAACCAATAGCCCGCATAGTTTTATTAATATTATAAAAATAATATTTATGTTTTTTTATGTTTGAATAGATACAATGGAAAGAAATACAATATCATAATCAGCATAAAAGCATTAGAACAACTTATCTGGTTAACCATTTTAAATTAAACAAGCTTAGTTGAGGTGTTATGCAGTTCCCCATTCATAAATTCCAGTTTTAAGGAATGTGCAATGAGCCGAAGCTGAATAGTGTGTCAGTAACATTTCATAAAATGTTTCATAAAACATCAGCCTTTTCTACATTTCAACAATAAAGGAACATCCTTCCATTAAAGTGCTATATTCCGTTTTCTGGCCTTACTGGAGTCATAATGTGGCCATTAACTGGTCACCAGTCTGTGCAAGGGGCAACAGAGACACAAAGAAAACAGCTCACAATCAATCCTAGGGGCAAGACAGTGTAACCAAGTAACACAACATGCCTATTTTTGGACTGTGGAAGAGGCACAAGTGTGCAACGAGAGGCCCAACAAGATGCAAGCATGCTGCAATGTGGTATTGCTTACGATTCTTTGAACATGCAGCACAAAAGCATCATGATTCCAAAAAACTATTTTATACAGAACTATTTGAGGGACAAATTTAATAAGTAAGAAAACTTTTAGAAACGCAAACCGATTGTTTCTGCATTTATTTAACTTCAACGTGCATGCTTAGTAGCCATGTTAGAATAAGATTTTATGGATTGCTGAGAAATTTATGGATTACTAATTTACCGATCTATCGTCATGGGACTTTGCAGAAAATGGCTTTTGTCTTGCCTTGGAAATTGTATAATTAAACGAGGGCATATCATTTTCTGCATTTAGATCACATTGCAAGTGTGAAACAGCTCCCACCTGAAACTATGGTAAACCATTTTAAAGAAAATGTGCACAACAAGTTTATTCTTTTAAGCATAATGCAGGAATTAAAAATCAGTTAATTAAGGGCATGTCATTAATTCTGCTCTGTTCTCAAGGCACCGTGTTTTAACAGAGAAACCATCTTTACTGTGTTTAAAACAAAGTAATTTCGCAATTTAATAAGCTTTTAAGTTAGATTACATTAGATTTAAGTTTATTAATTATATCATTATTCATTAAATTAGATTAATATTCTACAATGGTGTTTTACTGTACTTGTGCAAATAGAAGACATTTTTTGTTTGTTTTTACAGATGCAGAAACAGAAGACCACCAAAGCCTTGCATCATTATAGAATCAGTCCAGGTTAGCTTAATCCCAGTTTTCTGAGTCTTAGGTCTGTGATGCATTTACAGTGTCAAATTCAGACTTGCCAGCAGGTGCTAAAACACTCCAAAATTATAATGCCTTCACGCATTTCACACATTTTCCTAATATAAAATACAACTACATAAAAAGATGCTTTTCATGACACAACATTAAATAGGATACTGAAGATATAAGTGCAAGAACAGTGCAATGGACAGCTGAAATAGTCAATGTCATCTCTATGGCTGCATATCCAAACCTTAGAATAGATTCTCCTTAAACAAAGAAGTATTTTAAACACAAAATGTATTAAATAACCAAAAAAAAGTCACATTATGAGAAAAAAAAAACATAAGTCAAAAAAGAGGAAAGCATGCGCTGAATTCAGAAAGAAGAATCTGCTGAAAACTGCTGCTAGTTTCCAACAGTTTCTTCTTATCATTATTTTGCAAAGAGGAGATCATTTTCAAATTCTCAAGCAACCATTTGCCAACAGTATTGAATGGGCATAACCAATACTTACCGTTAGAGATTACAATACTGAAGTGATAAGTCAGCATTGTTTTAAAAACACCTTCCTGAGTAACCACCATCATAATGCACAACAGTAACTTGAAGAGAAGTCCAACATTTCTCTATGTGTGCAGCAGGTGGAGCTGCTGCACATCCTTCTGTGGGGGTTGGAGTGAGATGAAGATGCTGTGGTAGTGATGGGCCAGATGTGAGACTTAGTGAACAAGTTTCAATGATTCTGAAAGACTGCCAGGGCCAATCAAACAACTCGGTCAGGGTTGGGACCAAACTCCCCGAACAACTATCTGACCTTTTCCTCTTTCAAGTGTTCAATCACCCCGGGCTTTCCTTGAAAATTCATAGATATTTGACTTGTACTTCACTCTTGATCTACCCAAATAAATCCTTTATGTTTTCTTGCTGTCCATTGAAGCTTTCGGTCTTTCTTACAACTTTATACTCCTACGCTTCAAAGGATGGTCTTCGGGTCGGTGTGGAGAAAGGCTCCTGCTCTCGATCTGGTTCCTCATCCAGGGAGGTGAGCTCCAGGGCAACTTCATTCTCATAACAAAAAGACAAGCTTGAGCTTCCAGTGTACCTCTGCTCGGCCAGCTCTCTAGCACTGCATGATGGCGTGTTTGGGATTTCATAGGTCCGATGGAAAAACGAATAGTCAACCTAAAAATAAGATTGTCTTTAGTTGAATTCAGCATAAAATTCCAAAAAAGAATATTTTAAAGCAAAACACAAGATAATGCAGGTGAGGCAATACGCCCCTTTCAATAATAAAACACCCCTTACAATAATCGGTTCCATTGTAGATGAGATGTGTGAAAAGCAATATTACTGCTATAGTATAATCAGCTACACCCTAGATGCTTAAAGTAGCCCTACTGCATATTCTCCTCTCAGCTGCTGTAAGGCTTTATAATCTTCACACAGGCACAATATGTAATATAATAGTGTGTTCTGATTATCTCATAAAGTTTTTATTAATTTAAAATACATTATTTTTTATGATTAGTTTATTTCTGTAATGTTTCAACTTATAAAGTTAGATGCCGAAGATCGGTGAAGGTAGATGATGAAGGAGAGGAAACAGAGAAGAACAATGGTGTTTGGAAATGGAAAAGAATGTGTCTCTGAAATAGAAGCCTTTTTGTTAATAAAGGTTGCCAATTAATAACGAGGGATGTGTGTTCTATGTTCTATGTAAGGGTGCCACATTTACAACCAAGCTTTTAGCTGCCGTGTTTAATCTGCTCAGTAGCACACAAATGCCTTTTTTGCTGTTTTACCTTCCATTTACCCATATTTACCTGCTCTATAAATGTTTTTTTTACATCCTCACTGTGATGTGCAGTTTTTTTTAAACATGATGTCTAAACGGTTTTATTGTTTTTCCTTTTATCTTGAAAATGTTTTAATTGAATCTAACTATTCAGTTTTAAGTAGCTATAGTGTTCTTGTTTATATTTGTTTTCCCTTTGCTGTGTAGTATATTCTTACCTTTTTAAAGGTTTGTAATTTTTCATGTTTAATAGTCTTGTGTCTACCTCTTTGGCTTATTGTCAAGTTGCTTTGTCACTGGCAATGTGTGTGCAATAATGGATAATTCTATTTTATTCCATTCTACTCTATCTTTTAACAATGTTTGGCACTAAAACCTATAATTGGAGTAAATGTATTATATTCAGATAAAATATCACAAAAGATTTTTACTAACCGCTAGTGCCAAAGTCATTGGTACTATGGCTTTACATACCTTGTAAAACAATTTTTTTTGTCATAAAGGCCTGTCCTTTGCTAAACAACTGTAAAAGGTTGGAGTGTACTGAGACGTGTATCTATAAGAATACCTTGTTGCGAAACTGCTTGGATGACATAAATAGTTGCTCATATATTTCTCTCTTAGTCTTAGAACAACAGGAGATGATTATTTTATTTTTGAATCAATTTGTGTCTTTTTTTAAGTATTCTTCTCCTGTTTAAAAAAAAAAAACTATGATGTTATACCTCAGAAAACTTCTCAATACCTTGTAAATAAGATAGAAATAACCTTGCACATTTTTCTACCAGGGATGCAGAAAATTGTGAGGAGCAACAATGAATCTCTCTTTGTTTGCTCTTTCTTACCTGGTAGCCGTTTTTCCTCTCAAATAGCACCGGTTCAAAACGGTGTCCCCAGAGTATTTCCGAAGCCAGATAGGAGCTGCGGCACTGTGTTGTCATCGATGTGGCCTCCACCATTCCCTCCAGTATGACCACCACCTCCAATTCAGAGTCACTCTTCAAGGTTTTTTTGTCTATCTCATAAAAAGGTGATTCTTCATTGATTTCGTGCACTATTGTCACAGGAGACACCAAAAAGATGCGATCGGTGCCAGTATCAAAACCCACGTTGATGTCTGCGTTGTCAAGGGGCAGGTACTCCCCTTCTTGTGTCATCCTTGGCTGGAAGCAGATAGAGAAAAATAGTACATACAGTAATGTACACAATGTACACATAAAGTACATACCTTTAACCCACAAGATCTTTACAATTCTTTAATATGACGCAAATTTTGTCATTTGCTAGAATGAGAAAAAAATTTTGTGTGTAAAAAGCCATGGACAGCCTTTTCTTTAATTTTCAAAGCCAATAACGGGATTTTTCAGACAAATCAAAGCTGTATTAGAATATGTCAAATACCCATATAGAAAAGGAGGTAATTAGCTCCTTTACTGCAGTGAAAAACTTGAAAGAAAATATGAGAAGAGATACACGGTGGGACTGTTTGCACTGTTGCCTTGCATCAAGAAAGTACGGGATTGACACCCATGGAGTTTGCATGTTCTTCCTGTGTATGATTGGGTTTTCTCCAGATACTCTGGCTTCCTCCCACAGACCAATAACATTACTGTTAGGTTAATTGGCTTCTTTAAATTGTCCTTTGGTGTGAGTGTATGTGCATGGTTGTATGTCTCCATGTTGCCCTGTGACAGAGTGGCGACCTGTCCAGGATGTACCCTGCCTCTCGCCCATAGACTGCCGGAGATAAGCATGGGCCCCACTGTCACAATGAGGGAAAAAGTTGGATAAGATGGATGGAAATATGGGGAACTGCCTAACTACAGGTAAAGTCAAAATATGTACTGGTCAGACACATTTGTTTTGTGCATCAATCATATATTTCCTCTTCATTCCTTCTTCCGTTTTTCTCAACATTTGAGTCAAATAAGCAAAATGAAACAGACATTTGACTGCAGAGCTTGTCAAAGTATTTTATCCTTTAATCTAGCACATGTGTTGCATTAGTTTGCATTGATGTTTTAGAAAAAAAAACTTGTATTTGCACTAGAAACTGTTTTTAAAGGAATAAGCTGCATGTTCAAGGAATAACCTTTTGACAACTAAATGTATTTAGTGGAGTTAAAACTTCAGGAAAAGTAGAGAATAGAGAGACTGAGTATTTTGGTGACCCAGTTGTTTGGAGAAATGAGACTGATACCCATGCCAAGGCTGATCAAAACTGGAGCAGACAGTAAATCTTCTCTATGCTGCAAGAACTCCTGGAGTCCGATTAAGCTAACCTGAATTTACCTCTTGTCATAGAAAACTCTATTAATAGAGAGAGGTGTTTTTTTTTGTTCTTTTTATCGTGCAGCCCTGATCCTTTCTGCCCTGCTTGGACCTTGATATGGGCCTTTTATCTAAGGAGATCAAATACTGACTGTGCTCCACAGATTTTGAATATATAGAGTGGACATACATGCAACCACTAAAAGCATTTATGATTGAAAAAAAGGAAAAGTAGTTTTAACTTTGACCCTTAATACAAGGTAATTTTGTATTTGTAGATACAAAACCAATATCCAACCCAGTTGTTCATAGCATGCATTCATGGGATACAGTGGGGAAATGGACTGATGAAGGACAATGGTTCTCAGGGAAAGAATTGCAGGCAAGTTAATCCATGATTAATCTTCCAAACCCCAGAGTAAAAAAAAAAAACTCTCATTAAGTGGGACTGGCAGAATACTAGCCAGATGGTCTGAGTCTCTCTCTCTCATTCCTCCTCACTCTCAGTTGCATCCTTAATTTATTTAACCAAAGTTTTATTAGCTCTACCTTTTTAATTTGGAACACTTTGTCAACCTGATGTTCAATTTTCAGGTTTTTTGTTGTGTTTATTTTAACACTGCTTACCTTCAGTAGTTGTGCTCTCACATGCGCCTCAACCAAGTGGCTCTTCCGTAGATTTCCCACCCTCCACATCATGCAGAGTTTTCCATCTCTTAGGGCCACCACAGCAGTGTCAGAGAACACCAGAGTCTCGTTGCGTTTCTTGGGCTTGGCAATCTTGGCCATGACTGCCCCGATGATGAAGGCGTCAATAATGCAGCCCACGATGCACTGCAAAACGACCGCCAGCACCGCCAGGGGACATTCTTCGGTCACGCTTCTGAATCCGTAACCGATGGATGTCTGCGTCTCCAAGGAGAACAGGAAGGCTGCCATGAAGCTATTTACTTGGAGGAAGCATGGCTCTTCTCCCCCAGTGTCTCTATCAGACTCTCCTCCAGACCCAGATTCTCCTGATCCAGGAGAAAAACCAGAACTGGGGGTAAGTTGAATGGAGAGGTCTCCATGCACAGAGGCAATGAGCCAGAAGGCAAAACCAAAGAGAAGCCAGGAAAGAATAAAGGAGAGCGTGAAGATGACCAGCATCCAGCGCCAGCGTATGTCTACACAGGTGGTGAAAAGGTCGCTGAGGTACCGCTGGCCCCTTTCACTCATGTTGACGAAGGTGACGTTGCAGCGTCCGTCCTTGCCCACAAAGCGTTGTCGGGGCCGGCGGTTTGAGCGCCTGCTGCGTTGCCGGCTGGTAGTGGAGGGGGAAGACAGGGAATCCTGGTCTGATGAAGAACATCCTTCCCCTCTCCCCCCTTCCCTACCTCCTTTGGTATTCCTTGGACCTGAGCATATTCCTCCTGCTCTCACTCTAACTTCTCCTCCAGCATCTCTCCCAGCTGGCTCATCAATAGCGCTCTGGTTCCATGCATTGTTAGTGTTGCTCTGAAGAGGAAGAGCTTTGCCATTTAGGGCATGGATTGGAGAGGAGCTGTTTAGGCCTCTGGACCCTGTTGGACTCTCTCCTGCCCTTGCACTTTGTGCTAGCCTCATGACCTCCTCCTCCTCCACTGGCCCATCCACCACAGCACTGAAGCGATGTTTAATACGTGCTGCTCCCATCCCCAGGTGTAAAATATCTTTGTTGTAGTGGACTGATGCAGTCAACAAATCTCTTCACGGTTTTACCAACAAAGTCCTTCAGTCTTTTTTTATAAAATCAGTTCACTGTAGGTCCAAACAAAGACTAATAGCCACAATAGGCTCTTGTTTTGTCATCCATGACCAACTGAGTATTTATTTGCTTAGTTATAAAAAAAAAAAAATGTCTGTTTTGTGATATCAGATATTTCATCGGAAATCCCACATTCTAAAGTTAGGTAATTTGAAGTGGTGGTTGACATAAGCAATACAAAGAGTTCATATTTCACAACTACGCCACATGCAAAAGCTCATTCAGGGATTTTTTGGGGCAGAACTGAGTTGAGCATGCAACACAAGAGCATGCAGGACGGTTATGCTTAGTTCAATTAAACAAAACAACGTCTTGAGGTCTTGAGCAGGCATCATTTGATGAGGAATATAAACCGAAACTGAACTGTAGTTGGATAATGCACATAGAAGCATCGTAAGATTATCCAGCTCTTAATGGCATACATTTCAGAGAAAGGCAAGTAAGTGCAAAGCAATGTCTAACTGACGTTTGTTGCAAACTACTAAGGAGATACCGACATGTAGAAAAGGAGAAGTAAAAAACATGCAAAATCTTACAATAAATGACCTTTCCAGATTCACATTCACATTGAATCAGCATGAGGCAAGAAAAGATATAATAAAATAAAAGTTTTGTTTTACAGTAAAATGTGTCATTGTTAAAAAAGTCATGAAAGCTAGACGTTTTTGCTAACTCAAACGTTTTTTTTTTTTTTTTTATTACTCCTCAACGGATCATGTAAATGCTTTAACTATTACACATTTACCTTCCAATAGGCTCCTGATCTGTTTGGTAGACATTCTGAAGTTCTTTAAGGTACTGGCTGTTGTATTGCAAGTATTAACTTTCAGGTTTTTGCTTTTAAAGAACACCTATAGGCGACGACACCGTAGAGCAGATGTACCTCATTACAAAACTGCATTATGGCCGTGACATCTCTTACACCCTGACAAAAGATAAGAGGGAAGAAATAAACAGGGAAATATTATTACTGAAATCTATCAATAGATAAACTAATAGTTTTTGGTAATACAGTTTGTAGGAAAAGACAGAGAAATTGCAAGATCGCTTGAATAAATACTTGAGCATAAAGCAATAATAAATTTATACAAATATTTATATATTTGTATACAACTGAAGCTGTGGTGCAAAAACACCAAGATGTTGGATTAGCTTGCTTAACCAGCTGATATAAAATTAAAAGCATTGGATAGAATTCCTCAGAAAAAATAACCAAATTTCACAAATGCAAAAACAAACAAAAAACAACAGGGTAGCAGGTAAAGATCATTGTGCAAATAAGGAATAAACACTTTAATAGAAAATAAAAACTAGGGGAATGGATTCTTCCTGAAGTGAGAAATTATATAAGGGTTCATCTTGGCTTGCGTGTTAACCTTGCTTTTTTATACATGATCAGTGAATGCAAAGAGTTTTCTTGAAGACGAAGGAAGGAAGAATCACTGGACAGTCTGCTGTTTGTCTCATTCCTTTTAATCAGATGCCAGAATCTATGCACTCTTCTGGTGTAGGTCTGGCGCTCCTAACATGCTGCCAATCTTGAAAATAAATTTAGACAAACAAATAATTGAGTAAAAATGTGAGAAAAGATCAGTTAAAATGATCTTTGCCAGAAAAAAAATGTTGAAACAAAATTTGCTAAACAGAAAGCAAAGTTCCCTCAGACATTTATTCTGTTAACATAGGTTGTTTTCAATAAGTTCTTTAGATTTTTGACATAATAAAATGCATAATAATATTAATCACATGGACGAAACTTACCAGTAGTCCATCACTGTTTTTTTTCACATTTGGTCCTTGGGTTTTTTTTTTTTTATTCAATAGAAAATCCTAACCTGATGAATCAGAATTTCTCAGATGGACTCAAAGACTGTAAAGAAAAAAAAGAAAGGTCAAAAACTCTCTGTTTATTTGTATTAATACATTTTCATGGGATTTCTGGTCAGAGACCAACACAAAGCAGACAGGGATATGTAGCCTCCAGATGTTTTACGAACAAAAATCTAAAAAGTTTCATCTGTTTGTTTTTAGATTTCATAAAATAACATTTCAATCTTCATAGTTTTGCTCTTATAGGGTTAAGCTGCTGGAGGACATAGGGGCCATTTTTCATCTCTCTGCTTCATCCTACTACAAGTTTGTTCACCTAACTTTATGTTCTCTCTACTTTTTCTCATCATAGCAGCTAAATCTGCCCTGGCACTCTGTGGAGGGAGGCAGTTTATGAAGAAGAAAACAGGGATTTTGAACATGATGAATGTTTGACAGACATGGTCAAATGATTTATTGGCAAAAGACTGAAATTGAGTTTCAGATTATCAATCTCTTTTGATTGATTATGGGGCAAATGAATGATGTTGATGTGTGTATGGTGATGTGTGGTGAATTAAAGTTGCACTCCTAACTTCTCTAATGCTCATAACAGGGTTGCTACTCCTCATATACTTAAATAAAACATAAGAATGCATTAAGTATGGTAAATATTGACCTGCACTAGCTTTGGCATGAAGAAGCACAGAATCATGTATTATTGGTGTGTCACAAATGAGAAACAGAAATATGGAAAATAAACACAGGAATTAGAAACATAAGAAGAAAAATGATTCTATGATTTTTTTTAACTACAGTGATCAACCAACTTGCAGAATACAATACCGTATATATAAAAAAAATTCATGTTTAATAGTGTCCTAATTAATTTACACCTTTTCATTATTTATTCATATTAATGGAATTTTAAAAATACATATTTTTTAAAATAAAAGCAAAAATGCTTTATAAAGTAAGACATTAAACAGTTATTTTACAAAGAGTTACATATGGTTTAGAAAAATGTGAATCCGTCTTCAAATTAAAACAATAAAGGAACTGCCAAATATTTCAAATATCAACTTTTACACAACAGAAGTACAATGTTGTGGCAGGTTTGATAAAAAAAAACAAAATGTAAATGTATAAAAAGACTGTCATGACCTTGGTGTGTAAAATACCCTTACCTCTAGGAAACTGCCTAATCAACAATCTCTCAGTTCTGCAATCTGACACTTTACAACTATCAGAAGTAGCTGTAGGAGGTGATGAGGGACGATCATGCCTTTGTGTGCAACATTGGCGCAATGAGTTTGTTCTGTTTCAACACCCTATTGTGTCAAGGTAGTTAAAGATGTCAAACTAACCTTGATACAAGAACAGCCATGGAAGGGTACGTTGGAAAATTGTTTAAGTGAAGTAGATCTGTTCATCCAAAATGAGCTGTATAGAGAGAGAGAGATACAGAAAAAGAAATAGAGAGAAAAGAAGAGAGAGTTGGATCAATAATGGTTAAAGATCCTTAAAAAAAACAAGTCTTAGCTTTAATATAGAGGTTGACAATTAATGTATTTTCCATTTACCATATTTAATGTTACATTTGTCTAACTATTATGATGATATAGAAGAAGGAACAACACTATTGATCTATACATATTCAATTATATAAATGCTTGTTTTTAGCTGATCAGTTTTGTAAAAAGAAGTACATTTTAAAATAATAATTACCGTATTGAACTATGCCACCTAAGGAATGACATTGGCATTTTCAGTGAAGGGTAACATTGTTCCAACTTGAGATAATGACCTGTTGTCCCACTCTGCAAGCATTATTTGTGAAAGCCTGAAGACAATACAGTCTCCAAATCTGATTTATGAATGACCAGAAGAAGTTTGTGTGTTTAGGACTGAAGTATTCTACGAGATAAATTTTCACCTCTCTTTACATTAATTCACACTTGAGGTAATTCTGTTCAAGTCAATTCATAAAGTCTTGTTGTTGTTTATATAAGTATATCAATCTCAGTTGATTTCCCTGACTATTGCATTGGGATACATGTAATCAAAGCATTTTTATTTTCCTGGTTTATCAAACAAAAGGATAGGACAGAGTTTTTTTTTTTCTCTTTGCCTCTCTGCAAAAACAGGAAGATGAGAGAAAATACAATTAAGCAACCATTATAATTGACCTTTACAGTATAAACCAGGAAAGAGTGAAAGCAAAGTAATAAAAAAAAAGAAATTATGCGTATCTACATTCAGAGCTACATTTTAAAAGAAATATAGCCCAAATATCAGAAACTGAGACACAGAAGGCTGAAAATGTATTAATCCCTGTATAGAAGCATTTTTTGCTCTAAATCATTGAAGTATTTAATTTTAAGTAGTTTCAGTAATGAAAAATAGTTTAAAATTAGTTATACCTTGTTCACTTATGCAATCACAATATTTTATGAAACCTGATTTTGTAAAAACCTAGGTCATCTATCTGGTTAAGCTCTCAAGGACTGGACTTGTGCACCCCTGATCTTAACAATTAAACATTTGAATCAAAGAAAATGGTTATTTGCTTACTTGCTACTGCTTACTTCTTGCATGCAAGAACTGTTTTCTTTGAAAGTCTCTTTAAAAATGCCGTTGATGGATCTTTTGAATTGGTTATGATAGACAATGTTTCATCTTTTGCAGATGACTGAATCTTCAAAAGTAGAGAAGAGTTTGTAATCCTGATGTGTTTTCCTAAAGCGTGGGCTCATGGAGTTAAAATATGTGTCAGTGTTATTTGATATGTTCTCCTTTTTTCCAATTTTTTCCCACTACTTGACTGCTCAGCGTCACCTCCTCCTGTGTTTAGGTGTATCATCCAGATCAGAATTCTTGGTGATTAGTGCTTGGACAGACTACCACTCGTTGCACATTTTAATTCCCATTCTATGGTGTAAACATAACAGCACTTATCCAAAGAAAGCTGGAAGCCAAGGAGGATCTGAACAGAGAGGTGTCAGAACAGCAGGGCAGAAACACTAGTAGGCTACCTTGTTTCACCCACAGTTACAACTCTTCTCTATCCTTTACATTC